ATATTACCAGATTCATTTAAAAAAGCTTGTGTTCAATTAATTTTTAAGAAAGCCGACGTTTCAGATTTGAGAAATTGGCGTTCGATCTAAAATCTGAACGTCGACTATGAGGTCACAGCCAAACTTCTCGTCAAACGACTTATAGGACCCATATATCTAATATAATAAGTAGTACACAAAAGTGTACTATCCCTGGACGGAGTATTTTTGACGTCTATTATAATATTAATAGCATAATAAATTACTCAAGAACCAAAACTTACCTTGTTGTATACTTTATTAATTAATCTATGTATTCTAATATTATTAGCGTTGTTGAGGTGAATGGGGCATTCACATAGGAGATAAACATACTCAGGGGCATTCGTCAAGGATGTACACCATCAATGTGGAGCCCCTGAGCCGAAGAATAACAAATAACACCCTAATTAAAGGTATAAAGATTGGAAGATTCGAGCACAAATTGGACCAGTATGCAGACGATGCAACTTTTGTTGTATCTGATGCATACTCGGTAGAGGCTATCTTTTCAGAATTGGATTTTTTTCGTTCCTCTACGGGACAATGTATAAATAAGGATAAGACGGAAATCCTTTGCACCAATCAACGGACCAGAGAATTACTTACTGTCTTTCCATAATTGGTTTGCAAAGGATTCCATAAAAATTTTAGGCATTTACTTTGGCAAAGACCAAGTAGCCAAAACCGGGCAGGAAAAATTAAATATAATTAATAAAATCATAAATTATAGTAAAACTCGTTCTCTTACCTGGTACGGCAAAATAACTATTATAAATTCTCTGATTTTGTCGCAGGTCTTGTACAATGCGAGATCGGTAGCAATACCATCTCAAACTGTACAAGCAATAGAGAGAGCTATTTTTCCTTCATTTGGTCCTCGGAACCCATGGAGATTCTAAGTCGGAGGATCCTACAGAATGACATAGATAAAGGCGGAATGGGCGTGGCCAGTCTCAAGACTAAAATTGCTGCTTGCCAGGCTGAAAAATTAAAACAACTGGTCTCTTTAACTAATCCCAGACAATTCTGGCATAGAGAGGCCCAGTACAGCCTGGGAAGCAGAATAAAAATAATCAATCCATCTTTATTTAATAATTCCATGCCTCATGCCCCATGTCTTCCTGAATCTTGGTCGATTAGGCTCAATCTTTTTCAAAGACTGTCCTTTTCGATCGTTGAATGGGAATCCTCCAACTTGCGTAATATTTATTATAGGGTCCTTGGGGAACGTACCAAACATCCTCCAACAGATGACGACTGGGTCGACTGGTCCATCTTCTCAGTCGGCATTTCCGGAAACATTTTAATAACCACGAACGAGAGATTTCTTATTGGGTTGCGCGGAACGGTTTTTTATTCGGACAACGGCGGAAGCACACGGGTTTTAAATATAACAAATTTAATAACCGTTTGCTGAAGCTAAATTGCAAGCTTTGTAACGCCGGGCTGGATACTACCCAGCATATTTTTTTGGAATGCATCCTTTGTCTTTACATATCATCGAGAGTCCTCAACTTTTTAAATGAAGTAAGTTTAAGTGCAATAAGTGTCTCTATGGGAGAAATCCTGTATAACACTTATAATAATAACTGCTCTTTATCTGTTCTCAAGATTTTTCACATCTATAAAGTTCAGATAATTAACTTAAAAAAGGCTCTTGATAAGGAAGATCAATATGTCAGGACAAACGATGTTAATAATATGATAAAATCAGTTGTGGGAAATTTTTATCAGCACCTCTTGGAGCGTGAAACAAAGTATGGGGATGTTTTCATATACGAGTTGCTTCCAGATTTGAAGAAGATTTTATCAGGATACAATATCTATTTATGGGAAATTTCATGCTCTAGAGTCTAGGACTCTGATAACGGAACTCCTATAATATTCCATTACTCCTAAAAATACTATTTGTTACTTAACTGTGTCTCACTTCTGTGATATAGACTAACTTTATTCCTTTGTCTAACAAATAATAAGTCTGTATTTACAGTTCAATAAAACCTATTCTGACATACTAACAGCAAGTCAAACATAATATTTCTTAACGCCAACTCCATCAAGGATTTTGGCTTCTTTTTTTTGGTGAAGTTTTTGTTTTGTTTATTCCTTACAATTCTTATTTATATTTTCTTCCTAACACATCTTCCTTCATAACCTTTTAACTCTTATCTTTCTCACTTCCTACTCTCATTTCTTTCTCATTTTCTAGAAGAGACGAACATCACGTGACAGGGGAGTTGATATGAGTGTGCATCAAGGTGCATTTCTCCTAACTCTCTCCTGGCACGGAAGTGTTCGTCAACTCTAAACATCTGTTTTCTTCTGGTGTTTTTCATTTTGCCTGCTTAAAGGTAATTTTTACAGGAAAAAGAACTAAAAGCCTCCCCTGCAGCATGTAAGTATACAACAAGGTAAGTATACAACAAGGTAAGCCATTATAAAAGATTTCATCCTACCACGATGTCACGACAAGAGAACGAAACTTTGTCACGTAAATATCAAGTTATTTTATTCCGACTGCAAACTGGCTCTAAACATCTGTTTTCTTCTGGTGTTTTTCATTTTGCCTGCTTAAAGGTAATTTTTACAGGAAAAAGAACTAAAAGCCTCCCCTGCAGCATGTAAGTATACAACAAGGTAAGTATACAACAAGGTAAGCCATTATAAAAGATTTCATCCTACCACGATGTCACGACAAGAGAACGAAACTTTGTCACGTAAATATCAAGTTATTTTATTCCGACTGCAAACTGGCCATTGCGCACTGAATGCACATTTACATAAAATTGGCTGTCATTCTGACGGATTTTGTGAACAATGTTTCGTACCCGAGACCGTAGACCACTACCTATTGCATTGTCAACGATATAATCATCAAAGAAAACCAGTCATTAGCAAAGCCAGAAAACTTAAACTGGAAATGACTTTGGAAGAAGTGTTTAGTAACATGGATATTATTGAAACTGTTATCGAATTTGTTTTGTCTACGGGCAGAAATATTTAGAAAAATTACCTATTGTAATTGATTCAATTGTATAATTATATATTCGTAAATATTGTAATATTTGTTAGTATAGGATTTTTAAATTCAAAATGATCAAAGGCGCAAAAGACCACTGAAGTTATAAGCGCCATAAAACATAACAACAACAACAACAACAACAACAACAAGGTAAGTATCGGTGGGATGAGGCCTACTTTGAAAAAAAAAAAAGAATCAGCAGCGCAAACTCTGAAATACCAGAATATCTCTTTGAGGTTTAATGATATCGTTAAATAATTTCAGCCATTACGATTTGTCAGTTGTATACAGTTTTCCAGCATTATTCATACCGCATATACGGCATGTTATATCAATTACTCTTGCCAAGATGCATATATATATGAGAAAACAGCTGAAACGTTAGAAACGTTGGTGAAGACTGTGCGTTTGTACCAATCTCTGCCAGAGTAAGGGGCGTGTAGACTAAACCCACCGGACTAAACCCACATATCACATTAAAATGCCTGTTAATATAGCTATGTGCACTCTTTTTCAGATAATTCTTTGTACCCACAACTTGAATTCGTTAAGTATTATGCAACTAAAGTCAATGACCTCTCAGTCTCTTACCTATTTCCTTTCTTTGACCACAGTAATCGAGATTGAAATTCAGATGGCTATTAAATAATTGGATCGTTTATTTTCCGAAATAATCTGGGGATATATTTGGTGTTCCGAAAACATTCCATACTATCGAAAGTTTTCCACGGTTAAAAAAAGGTTGAAATGTAATTTTCCAGACCAGTGCTTCCCTACCATTGGTCCGCGGGCCGGCGCCGGTCCGCAAAGCTTTTTTGCCGGTCTTCTGGAAATTTTGTTGCTTTTCTGCCGCCTCAGTCACTTTACGGGAACCGAAGGAAGTTGTGTCGGTTTATTAGGCAAGTTCTCTTCCGTCGTCATATTGTGGCTTCATAAGTGCGGTATTAATTGCGCAGGCAAAGTCTTGGCGCCGAATAATCACACATTTCGCTTCCCCAGTTCCGATTTGTCGCAAAATTGCTCCGTTAAATCTCACAAGTGTCAGAAGTCTAAAAATCGACACGAGAGTTTTTCCGATTCTTCACGCTTTTTCTGTTCAATATGAGTATGACCATCCAATAAAAGATTATAAATAGTTCTCTGTTTATACCCGAACTCGTAAAAAAACAGTCGATAACAGTATAATATTCCACGACTTTCCTTGGCATCCGATAGGATATGAACGTTTTGTGACGATGCAGGGCCACAGAGATTTTTCAAGGTGATATACATCGGGAATTTGAGCCTCGTTCCTAATTGCCTTGTCATTGTAATGCAAATTTATTTTTTCTGAGGCTTGGATCACTTCTCTCGTTTGCCTGTTGGAAATTATTGGAACTAGCCTATATTGGTAGCAAAACAGCAGTAAAATTCTCACTAGCGTTACATTTGTTTGCACATGATTTGGCATGTACATTTTTAGATAAAATGTTTTGTTTGTGTGCTATTTTACCTATAATCATAGTGTGTGCCCGGCATTGCATTTATTAAGCAAATATATGTTATTATTATATGTTCCACTTATTTATGCCAGTCCGCGAGTACATTTTATTCAATTTTACCCGTCCGCCAGCGAACAGGAAACCACAGTTCTAGACTAAAGAGAATATAAATTTTATACTTGCAAAGTAATAGTCTAAGTGTACGATGATTATGCTAGTTTTCGTCATATCATTTAAGCATATATATATTCATATACATACTCGGGCATCAAGAATTCAATATTGTGATAGTAGCATCATTGTACCATGTTTGACAAATAAAGTTTTTAATCAGTTTTCGTTTTCAGCATGTATCAACAATTTAATATGGTAATGGTTGTGTCATTGTAGCATGCTTGACAAATGAAATTTTTAAACAGATTTTGTTTTCAGTCATGTTATCGGCAACATATACATTTATCGCTTCGTCGTGAGAATACCCATCTGCTCAAATAGAATAACAACTATGATGAACATTAACCATAAAATGCTGGGATATATACGAAACCGAATAGCATTCATGTATAGTTGATTTTCTCCACCAATCTAGAAGGAGATACCGAGAAAACCAGAATGCACTCGTTTGTGAAATTCTGTGTCCCACTGTTATTTGCTATAAGTGCGTCACATGGTGAGTTATTATTTTCTGCCGAGTTTTATCATTAATTTATTTGTAGCATTAAATACATTTTCAAAATTTTACTTGGCGCGTGACAGTGGTTTCATGCTGTGCTTGTATATATAAACCGTGGTTTACAACAGCAATAAGCAGTATCGTTTTTGGTCACCTCAAGAAAACACGGAATCGTACTCCAATCTAATCACATAAAGTTAAAAAAAAACGCTTTTATTAATATGAAATCCTATTTTAGTTGACGCCAAGCTTCTGTATACGCACAATCCTGACGGTTCATACAGTTTCGCGGCAGCAGGTAACCCAAGATTTAACTTCAGTAATGGAGATGTGTTCTTACAATCTGATGGAAACTTTTATTCAACCAGAGATAAAACATTAAAAATGACTGGTAACTAACTATATATATATATCTAACATTTAGTAATTTTGTTCATGTTTTTACCATTTATTCATACTCAAAGAATCGTTAATAAAAAAAACTAAAAATCAATCATACAAATAATTTAAGATGCTGTAATCATATAAGCGCTGGTGTTATTTATTTTATTGAAAAAAATTCATTATGAGAATTTTATTATACAGTATTTTATTTATGAACTTTTGTTTGCACCCCATTGCGAATATTAGCACAAACTTGTACCACGATTAGAGAATTCCATATTTTGTTAACCTTGTGGCCAAAAACCTTTTGGATTCTTGAATATAGTCCATAATAGTTGTGCAAAGACATTGACTGTAGATGAGTTGATGTAGTATAAACGTTGCGGTTCTTCGGGTTTACCTTAAGTGAAACAAAACGACAAGAGAAGAGGCCTCGCTGGTCGGGCCAATGAGCGGATGACTTGATCTCTGTTAAAAGCAAAGTTATAACGGTTTTATATTTCAGAATGGATCTTATTTAACCTTCTTCGCAGATTCAACCTTTTTCCCTTAAATAAATGTGGATGACTCCAGATGTTAACCTCTTAACAGTATTTTTTAGGAAAACCAAACAATATGTATATGTAAAAACTTCAAGAATATGAAATTATTATAACTTGTTTGTCCAATTTGTTATTATTCCACTGATGATGTTACGGTTTGTCAAACTCCAGAATTCTACCACAATATATTTATTTCGCCTCGTATAAGATAATAACCTAATCATTATTAGTATCTATGCTATGTATCGCGACGAATATGTCAACTTTCTCAACAATAAAGAGTTAGATTCTTAGTGACAAAAATGCTGTAAGTGTAGCCAAAGAGGTAAAGCAACAAATAAAGGAAAATATTGCAATTAGATCAAAGTACATCAGAATAATGGAATTTGTGAAATGCACTGAAGCATTAAACTTGGCGGGTGGCTTAATTACCTCCAAGAATACTGGAATTTAGCTCATAATAAGACTGAAGAAAAATTAAGCAATAGAATTACAGTGATACGCAGTGCAAAACAGAAACATGATAGCAATTCAGAATATTCCCTCCAGGTAATCCGGTCATAGATATTTTCAGCATGACCTACTGATTCTCTCTCATCTGACTATTTACTGTTATATTTTCGTTTGCGTTTTTGAAAAATATATTTTGCACGTACTTCACTCGTCCACAAAAATAAAAACTACACAATACCCAATATAGCTTATAAAAGAATAGCAGTTTTAAGGGATAATGTGAGTAATTTTGCTATTGAATAACTAACCTCAGGGACCGTACCAATATCGAAAAAATATCACCATCTACCTAAAAAGGCTTTAAATAGTGGACCATATATTTCGATCAAGCTTTTCATATATATTAATTTGTTATTATGCGTTTAATAATGATTTACTTTTTCAATTTTGGTAAGTCCTTTGCTCGTGTCATTTAATTCATGAATTGCACGATTCATGTTCGCATAGAAGTTTCGTAACTCATTGGGTATTGAATAAAGTTCATGGATTATTATACTGTTGTAATTAACAGCCAACAAAACAATATCTGGTGAAGATGTGAACGGTGAGTACGAAGGTATGGTATATTCGTATGCAGCTGAAGAATATCATATGCAAAATCAAGTGTTGGTTTACAATGGAGGAGAGTTTGCACGATTCACTCAGGTAGACCATGTTTCAATGGAAGTCGCGATAGCGTTTTTTTTCGTATATTTTAAAGACATTTTAAAGACGATAAAATATGCGATTGGTGGTGGATTAGTTATTATCAAACAACTAGCGGGAAAGCATTATGAGACATCAGACTTACCTGGTAAAAAATGTGTTTTTCGGGGACCATGTGAGAATGAGGTTTTTGGAGAGATGATTTTTGTGACGATGTGATTTTGAAAAAACATACTTTTGCGAACGTAAAGTTTTGCAACTATTAGGAAGAGTCATTTGCTAAAAAGTCTGTTTCGCAATAACTTTTCACGCATAAGATACCAGTCCTGATTTGATTAAGTGTAGAGCATCCAGCCTCCTGGTCGGCTTGACTGGTGTTTCTTAAATGATAAAAACAAATGTACTTTGTATTTGTTCAGAGTTTCCCAAATGGTGTTTTAAAGAGTAACATCTCGAATACCGACGGTTTGCTTTCCTGTTTCCCTAGTTTTAATACAAAAACAACAGCGGAATTTGCCGGATTTCTTCATATGAATGGGGATATGTGTGGAAAAGATTTCAGTATTGCAAAGTAAATTATTTTATTAAAATTAGTGGCAATCATGTCCATCTTGCTTGGTGTGTGCGACAAAATCGTGGCAATCGCATTCAGATTTAAAGAGAACACAAATGAAATCACAATAATTTACATGAATTCGTTTATTTCACAGGCTCCCCTGTTGCTCGCGGCCTCAAATCGAGTTTCAAAATACACATCTCCTGCCTATTCTTAATATAATATCTCACGCATTCGTGGTAATTTTCGCCATCGACATCGATATGCGTCGGCCTATACGCGATATGTTCAACTAAAATAGAATGATCAGTTTAATTTCGAATATATGAGCGAAAACAGGCTAACTAAATAGTTGTCTTACACTTTTGAAACAGCTGTTCAAAACTTGTGTGATTTGTTAAGCGCCTGAAAATACGATACCTCTGATTGAATGTTTTATATATACTTTAAAAAAAATCAGCATTCTCGATACTGAAGTAATTTCATGTTAAATTCAAGTGTGCTTCTCTGTTTTCGTTATGACGTCACGGGCACGAGATACGATTCGAGTACATGACCTATTAGGGGAAAGTGGGGAAGGTTGGGACACTTTTTTTCGTTTGCATATTTTGAGCCTTTAATTCTGCATATTCCCCTAAGTTGGCGGGACTAATGCATAGAGGGGTAAATGTAGTTTACATTCAGCGAATAAGAAATTTTCTTGCGACACACATCTTACTACCAAAATGCTTTGAAAAACGTCTGTCAAGTGTCCTACTGTACCCCACTTGTGGGGCACATTCGGACAGACCCTGGGGCCCCATGGGTCAGTCCGTCAAAATTCAACGAAGTATGCCCTTAAAAATAAGCAATTAATCAGCATAATCGTCTAAAGAACAGGGAGACTTCAAATTTGAAGCTTTAATATTTTTAAAATCAATGTTCAACTGAAATAGTTCAGATATCAGACAAAAAGTTTCGCAAACAAATTTGATTATTTCTTCCCTCGAATCTAAATCTGGAAATATTATTGATTCTCGAATATATTCCATATTGGGCCATGGGTCAAAAGAAACCATAATATTACACTTAATATACCGCATATCTAGGTCTCTAAGCACTCATTGTATCAAACAATGTCGAATTGTGCACTGTAGGGCAAGTCCCACTGTGCCCCGGTCCATTGTTCCTCATAGGCAACAAATATTTTCAGACTATCCCACAGCGAAATCTGGAAGGCACATCCACTCGCCAACGTTATGAATATTCTACAGTGGACTAAAGCTGAAAAATATCAGACGGTGGTTTGTCATGTTGGAAAGTCCAATGTAGAAAAAAGAAAAAACTGTAACGGTGAAATTTTAGTTTCAACCTTCCAAAACCAATTTCACTTCATAGCTTGCGCCGCACTACCCTTCCGTTGTCCGTTCGCGGGGACGTTGTAACTCACCAAAGGGCGGATTGAAACATCGAACCGCGGACAGGATTGCGGATATAGTATCAGTGTGAGAGCTGATTTTCCACTGTGCCCCATGTCCCAACGTGCCCCACTTTCCCCTACTCGTATTTGTCGAATCCGACTAATATCAAATTCGTCCCATCCCATCCCTAAGAGTTGCTTAAACATCATAAAAGTATCTGTTTGTGTCGCTTCAAATAATTAATCTTTATGCCGGGTAAATTTAAAAACCCTGCGAAGCGCATTTAGTTCAAAGTTCGCGACTCCATCTTTGTGTGCACAAATCTGACTAGTTCTTTATTGATTTGGTCTTGGATGCAACTGTATTATCGTTCATACCCTACTACAGAAAAAAGTTTCAATAATAGATTATAGAGTGGTCGAAAGATATTTGTATAAACCTATAAGCGTAATATTAATCCAATTTATTCCACGTAATCGCGATTAAAATTGAATCAGTTGGTGTGTATTTTAAAAAAGCAATACATTGCTTGTATTCGAATTTAAGATGTAGGATTTTTTTAAACGTGAATATGTAAGAATAGGTCGCGCTGAGTGGTACATGAATGCTTGGAAAGAATTGCAATAAACTCTTCATTTGTGAAATATCATTACTTCAAATTTTTGGCAGCTTTTCTATGGGATCAGACATGCTTCACAGCGGACAAAAAGCAGGTCCTTTGGTTGCATTCGATGAGTATGGAAATGCAATGGTGATTTCTGCCTTCAGTAATTTCATGGCACATAGCATGATGTACGACAGTGTGACCTCACAATTATACTATGGTATACTTGGTGGCTTCAAAAGCGTTCCACAACACTACCAGGTTAGTCATGATTGCCAATAATATTGTTCTCTATACCTAACCATAGAAGGGGATTATATCGCTAAACTAAAACTAAATACATATATTCAATCAAAGTGTGCTTACGGTGAATGTTCACCGTTCTTACGAGAAAATCCTTTGTAATATAATCTCAGAAAATGAGTATAATGTTTATCTAGATTGACACAATACTTTACTTTGGAGATGAAGGAATGAATCGCGCAATCGAGGGATGGGGTGAGGTTCTTGCGAGAAGATATGGGAAATCAAGGTCTCGTCGTGATAGCGACCTCACGGTCAAATATCTCGGATACTATACGGATAATGGTAATAATATATGTTTACCATTTTGTTTTTATAAACTGATTTTAAATTACCCGGCACCTTGACTTGTTTTGACAGTCACGTTGCAAGGCGTACAAGGGATTTTGTTGAGGATGGGCATTTGATATTTGAAATTTGTGTCGTCATAATTTGTACTATACACCACATTTAAATCCATCGTGACGTTGTATATCAAATATAATGTAATACGTCATCATGAACATTTTATATTTCCGTAAAGGAGATTATGACGTCCTGAATTAGTGGCGTGCAACTGTTTATCGCAATGAACCAAAACGAAAATTTTGGTGACGGCGAGGGCCGGGTCATCGAAAAACTTGTTTTAGGTTTCAGCAACACGAAGTTGAGCCTGCTCATTTGTGAGCTGATTCATGAATTTTGTCTTGTACAATTGTTTTTTTATGAAACGCTCACAGCTTCTTTTATTATCAACGATTAGTTGTGACTTTGTTTATATCAACATTTAAGTAGAGATCGTCAATTAGCGAGTCATTGTCTATAATATGCTTCACTCAATATTTTTCTCCGGAGACATTTTTCGATGAATATTTTCAGGCCGTAATTGATCCACAATGTCATCGTAACTGGCAGAGTGTTGTGTACAATAGTGTCGCTTTTTGGCACATCACATCTTGATTGTGCATAACGATGAAGTATGTCTTAGACCACTCAGTGATGAACTTCCGCCATATTTTGAAGACCTTGCTCATCATTGGTAGACAGTTTAATGTTTTTAATCACAACACGGCACCGTTAAATAAATATCTCGTTATTGAATCCTTGTCAGACATCCTTGTCACGTAACAGTTCGAATACGACAATGATGCCGTTACAAATGATAAAGCATTGAAACATGATAGGATACCATGCCTATTACTTTACTGGTCACATAAATAGATTCTCGGGCCGAACAGTGGTCCGCGGGCCGTATGTTGCTACCCTTATTCTTAAATGATTTTTTTCATATTCGTAACTTATACAAAGTTACAGTTGTAGGCAACCCACGTACCGCTACTCATCATCTAAAATTAAATATATTTAAAAAATATGTTTTGCTCAGATTTAAAAACAAGTTGGAAAGTTCAAAACTGTCACAGAACGCCATGGTACAAGAAATGTAATATAGTAACACGCTTTTATAGTCGTGAGGATTCTCAAGCACTTTTGTTTTTCACAGCTCCTTCAAAAAACAAATGAAATAAACGATTTCGACTTGGATAATATAGCAACATGTTATAATTTTGAACATCTTTAAAGAATTGTTTGCTGTCTTTTCAGGTGCATATTACTACTACAATACCGAACCAAAAATGAATTATGAAGAAACCATTCTTGGCGTCGTTAACCAGTCAAAATTTGAAGGCATTCCATACAAATATGTTCAGTATGATTCTTGGTTTTACTACAAAGGATTAGGGGACGGAGTCAAAGAATGGGTTGCAATGCCCAGCATATTTCCGAATGGAACGGTGTAAGTTTATCTTTACCATTGCTTTATTGCTGTATCAGAACTCACTCAAATAACATAAGCTATTTAACAACGATTTTGGTAGACTGAAATTTACACTAAATAAGGCCCATTGACGTCGTGATCAGAGCTTGACAAATTTCTCCTTGAAGATGACATTGTGTAGGCACGAGAACATAGATATATTGGTCGGTTACACTGATTTCATTAGGCTTGAGGCTAGAATAAACTTAGAGGACGCAATAAAGTACAAGGGTTTATTATAATTATGTAGATATAATATCTAATTCTGATATCTTAACTTGTCAGAGGTCTTTTTCAAGAACATGGTATGCCAGTTGCAGCACACAATCGTTACTGGGCGTCTGATAACGTATATGCAACACAGAACGGTGGAAAATATAGTTTCTATATCGATACCCTATCGGGAAAAGCTCTACCTGATGACTATGTAAGAACAACAAGTATCAATCAACAATGCATGGCCATAAAATAAAGAGTATTGCAATAGTTTTTAGTTAATAACTTATTATATTGTTTTCACGGTTCGCGATTGTTACTGTATCTCTTCGTTGTTAAGGATCCTACAATCATAACCTGTCTTCTACCTGCAGATAACAGGATGCAATGCCTTAAATATTCACATCGATAGAGTTTCATCGTGATTGTAAAAAATCAGCATTTGAAAAATAGATATCATATCCACAAATATTGAAATTTAAAATAAAAGAAAACTAATTGCTGATTCATTTCTTTTCAGAGATTTTGGTCAGATTTTTTCCACAATGCAACAAAGTGGGGATTGATATTGTACGAGCAAGATTGGCTAGACATTGAATTTGAAAATATGGATGTATGTACTATCAAAAATAGTTACATGACGCACGAGGTGTTATGTGTGAATAACTTGACAAATAGTCAAATAAATTCATCGTTGAATCACTGATTTATCAAAATGCGAGATAAATTAGAAGTCACGAAACATTTAAATTCATTTGAAAATAACTGTTCGAGGATATGCTAAAATATATCTGATAGGGACAACAAGTCTTCGTTTAGACGGAAACCAAAGGTCAGCTGAAGCCAATGCATGGCCAAATCTAAAAATTCTTTGGGTGATTTACATTTTTTCTTAGACTATACATGAAGATATCAATGTTGGTAAATACTGGTTGAAATCGATGGGACAGGCTGCTGAAGAACATGGAATTAGTATTCAATACTGCATGGCGTTGTCTCGACATATGTTACAGAGTATTGAAATTCCCGCTGTAACGCAAGTAATAAAATTATATTAAATATCCATTTTTGAATGAAATTGCATATAAGTATATAAAAAAATCATTTTTTCAAACTCATTCCCTATGAAATATCAGCACATTAACTAGATTTTTAACATTAATACGTCATTCCAAACAAAATATCTGAATCTACAGGCCAGAGTAAGCGACGACTACCATCCTGGAAACAGTCAATGGAAGACTGGAGTCGAATCGATGTTTGCAAATGCTCTTCATCTGGCGCCATTTAAAGACACTTTCTGGAGTACTTCAAACCAAACCGGTAGTCCATACGGCAATGATACCGAACCGAATACCGACTTACAGGCTGCTATGGCAACGTTAACCACTGGACCTGTGGGACCCGGAGATAGATATTGTAAATTTTAATATTTTTTGCAGCTAGTTATTATATAAATATGAGAGTTTATATAACCCTCTGTGAAATTTCAAACCAAAACTTTCATTCAAAAATTTTGTAACGTATTGAACTCAAACCGGACAATTCAGATATTATTCAGATAAAAAGTTTGATAAATCTATATGAATTCAAATCATTTTATTTTAATTTTTGTCATATAGTTCATATTAATAAATTATACATTTCATACCAAATTATAATATATTCGTTAACAGCCAACATGTCAAAGAGCATATTGAAGACTTGTAGAGCGGACGGAATGATTTTGAAACCATCACGACCAATTACGGTTTGGGATCAACATGTGATTAATCACGCTTTTCCTAAGAATATGAAAGCGGGTGAGTAACATGATAAATCAGGATTAATCGTTTTACATTTTGCGAAAGCAAGATAGCAGATCATCACTACGTGTATATACTACCTTCAACAATGTCATCAGTAAATCCCTCACCATTTACATCTACATAATGTTGCCACAATGAAATCTGTAGATATGGGTTCACTGAAACAACTCATTGATGCCAGGGTTATAGTGCCTCCGTGGAATAGAATGTGTTCAAAGCAAGATTATGCGCGCTCACTGTGAAGTAATCAAGTAAACATGAGCAATCTTAAGTTTTCTTCTTGACACAAAAGGGCGTAGTATATTTCTTTGTTGTAGATAAATATACAATACTTAAAATAGAATAAGCTAAAAATATAATACAGTAGTATAAATTGATAAATGAAGAATGATAAAATGATTTCACCCTCAGACTGAATATTGAAAATTTTTATTTGTAGCTTTACGTCTTTATTTCCAGGATCTCCCAACTTGGATTCTGAAGTTTATTCGACATATACAGACATACCATTCACCAACGGTCCACTACGTCACGGAATCATGGTGGTTACTGATCTGAATGTCACAGATTTTAAGGCTACACCGAGTATTATGTTTCTGGACGAAACGGTAATTATAAATAAAACTGTTGAATGAAGATATGACATCGTATAAATATAAAACTTTTTTGAATTATAGTTCAACTTTCTTCTCTGTAATAAAAGTTTATGTTTCAGAAATATACAGATTATATAGCCTATCACGGCCATCCCGGAAATGATGGCAACATTCACAAGTTCAGTGATAATTCCCCGCTAACAATTCCTAAATGCGGAAGATCAGATTTTCAACTGTGGTATTTTGCACCTGTGATTGAAGTTAGGTCAGTAAATATATTTTTAGTGAGTTTTTTTATTTATTTTGGCATTCGTCAATATAACATAATGCGGATGAAAATGAAAAAATGATGACATTCAATATTTCTCTCAATTGATACACAGCTCACAAAGTCATGTAGCTATTCTTGGCGAGAGGAATAAATGGGTCCCGGTATCCACGCAGAGAATAAAAAATGTTGAACAAAAAGAGAACGACTTACTTGTCGATATCGAAGGAATGCCTGGGGAGGTAAACTTAATAATTTTTATGTCCACTGCAATGGCGAATTATCTTCATAGCAATCTAAGTATATATGAAATCTCAGATAGCATTGGTTTATATATTCAGAATTCACGATAATTTTACTCTCATTCGATTTGTTTCGGTGCAACCTGTCTTTACCTGAATACAGCCGTTTGTTGTACACAAAGATAAAAGTTTTCACTGTTAAACTAAGATTCTAATATATATATATTTATTTCTACAAAGGAGAATGGGAAATATACAACTATACATAAAAATCTACAAATCTATGCTTCAATATATTTTCATAATATTGTTAATATCTAACCTCTCTTGTTTCTATAGGCCGTACAATTCGGATTTTCAGTGAATCAATTTGTTGAATTTGTAAACTGCAACATCCCAAGTACTGGAAAAGCCAGAATAAATCTGAATACATTAACATGTACCGCTATTTGAAAGCCACTATTTCGAACTTGAGTGCAAATACATGACAAAACAAATATAACACTACAAACACTTATTCGTATCACTATGTAGCAATGCAACGGTATAATCGTGGGTAGTGAGTAGTAAGCAGGATCGACATCAAAATACCAAGGTGAACAAAGTTCCTTCACATAATATATACCGATCGTTTTATGATTTTCCCATTGCATTGTGCATGGCTAATTGGCTATTTATGTCGCACGTTAAAAAAATAGGCAGGGCTGATCGTCACTGCAGCCATCGCTAGAATATGAAAAATATATTATATTAAAAAATAGTTGAAGAACTTTATTTATTGGATATACAGTATATGAAAGAATATGAAATTAAACCTCAACACTGGCATGACAAGTAGACTTTAGGTAAGACGTATTTTGGTCGGATCGAGAGTCTAAGACTCTAAGCAGAATATGTGTGGCACCAACTTCCGCTCAGCAGTCTTACCTGCAGTTAATCATGGGCAAGTCACCTATGCATGCACCTCTATTACATACTCGGTCAAAATTAACATTTCCTATTTTTTATATTTCTGAAAAAGCGCAACGTAATATACATTGATGAAGATTTCCCCAAGTGAATATACATCTGTTCAAACACATATAGTGCATCATTCTGATACTTTCGCCGATAAATCCATCGTGCTTTTGATTACTCGCTCAGCTCTGTAGCAGAAATTAAATTTACGGTACCAGATGCTTTCTTCAATACGGCTTAGGCAGGTGTGTCGTAAAACCTCCCACAATTACATAGTCTTATCGACAGGCTTGTCCATGGGAATGGGGTTCCCACGGGAAACGTCCCATGGGACGGGACAGCACACATTTTTATATCCCGTGGGACACGAAAACCGCATGATTTTCGGGAAAATGATGATAAAACATTTCGTTATGGATTTCGTGTCCATATATTTGAACATAGCTCTCATGTTATTTATAAAGAGCAAAATAAAATCAGCATTGACAATATACTTCGTGAAGGAGCTGGTGGACACGTGTATAATATTTATGAATTTAAAGGTGAAAAGTCTGCAAATTTTGTTGTTTTGCATGTCTCTTCGTACATGTAATCCTATTTAGTGGACGCTAAACCTAAATTTAACAATTTTTATTGAATTTTTTCTCATGAGAATCCCATGGGATGGGACCGGCATAATTGCTATGGGATGGGACAGAAAAATGTGTTCCATGATCAAGCCTGCTTATCGAAGTGGTCAATATATTGACACTTACGTAGTTCAGGTGAGCCATTAAGGAATTGACTATGCTACGCAAACGCTATAAAAGCCTTTAATTATCACGAGACTAGATACTAGACTAGACTTATATTCTAGATCATTCGAGCCAAGAAGGAATTGCAAGTATCATTGTAACTTCATATAAATTCCACATCCACATATCAGTCGTTAAAATAATTGAACGGTTTATCCAGGGGTTTCAAAAACTAGGTACATGTACCAACAAGGATATATTTCGATTTTTAATGAGATACATTGAATTGAATGAAAAAATATTCTTCCAATAAGTTCTAATCTGCCTTGAAATATTTTTTTATTAGCCGATGTTAATAATTTAAAGATCTGAGTTTAGGGAAGAAGTTATATCAATCCAGTAGAATCTTACTCAGTCTAAGTACTTTGTCACAAATCATTGGAAAACGATTTAAAAAAAAACAAGTCTTCTCATTCATCACTTGGAAAGATCTCATCCGGAATTTAAAGACAAAGATCTTGTCTTTTTCAAGCATAGATAATCAACGCTGAAATAAAGGTGGCATGTTTTTCAACAAATCAGTACTTTTTTACTAAAGAAGCCCTTCAAAGTTTCTGTCATAAATGCAGAGCAAAAAATCAAATTGTATTCGAGAAAACCTGGTCTGGTCTTACCAGCTGCAAAAGTAGCTTACACATTGTCTGGATGTGAATGAGTAAAAAACTACTGAGGAAATGTCATTGGACATTTTCCAGCAAATGATTAGTGATATTTGTTGAAAAGCAATTCAACTTGACGAGTCTACAGATGAAACAAACTATGTTCAGTCACTAATTTTTGTTCTAAATGTGGGAAAATAAGGCGTTAAAGAAAGAGTTAAAGAGTTTTCGATTAATGTGGCATTAGGAGCAAAAGCTAAATGAGATGATATATTCTGAATAGTAAATACAACATGGTTAAAAATGAGAAAATGTAAAGGGTTGCCCGGACGGCCGAGCTATGTTTTTGACAAAAGTCTGCCTTTAGAGATCGTGTCCTCATTTGATATTTTTGCGCTGCGTTACCCACCGGTTCTCATTGTCATGCAAAGTCTTTCCTGATCAACTCTTTGGCGTTTCATCACTAGTCATTAAGAAGGTGAACACGGAAAACGCTCGATCACTGCAGGCTGCGACAGCTATGCAAAAGGAACTGATTGAACTCCAACAAGATGGCTTCATACTTTAAGAAAAATTTTAAGGATTTTTGGTTTATGATGTGCAAGCTTTATAATAAGGAATTGAGGAACGCACTTCCAGGCACTGCTGTACTTCGATCAACGTGGTTGTGCATTTCGTCATTTATGCTTAGAATAAACTCGAAATACAGATCGCAGATCAAAACGCCTGAGCATGATCTTTGTTTTGCTGCTGTTAATGTTTCCTCCCGTATTAATGAGCTTGTTGCTGAAAAGCATGCTCGTCTATCACATCAGCTAGGCTTATTCAGTCGAAATCTTGCTTGGATTACATTGATACGAGTAACTTAGTGAGCGTTGATTATACAGAATCACGAGCTTTTCATAGTAATCAAAATTTTAGCAAATTATAACTATGGAAAATAAAAATCGAAACTCCAATTGTCTGAGCACTCTAAGGAGTACCAAGGAACAGAAAGTTTGGGAAACTTTGGTTTATGCGATTAGCTAGGCCGGTGTGAACTTGACACCAAATAATCAGTTCAAATATTGGCAATTATAAATTAGTTTGTACATAAATTACGAAAAGCAAAATTTTTCCATTGAAACCTATCTCTATAAAGGTGGAAGGGGATATTAAAAAAATTCAACAGCGTATATTCTCTAGAAAATTATTAAATGAAACTTTATTTAAGCTCTCGCATTCAGCTCATTCGCGATTGCATTTCCGTCGTGACTTGCATTTTTTATTTGATGATAAAACCTGAGAAAATTTAGAAAATTGATAATGATTTTAAAAGAAGCAGTTCATCTGGTTCAATCGCGATATTGCGTCTTAGAAATTGTGTGAAAAGGAATCAATATATCTAAGTATGGGCCAAATTGTAAGTGTTCAAATACTGTTCGTTCATACATGAAAAATATAATTTAACTTGAGTTCAAGCAAACACTCATAATACAACGTTTAAAATTTGTATTCGTAAAACTGTTTGTGTTTACGTGTTCTGTGGGAAAAACCATATGCGCAAATAATCGAGCAATTTGATGTGGGGAATAATATCTGTATTATTTAGACAGGAACAGTGTGAGCCGTAATTGTTATGTTTGAAAGAAGAGAGATAAATAAAAACATCATTGTTTTTATTGTATATAAACAGAAGAATTTCTTTTTAGTATCCTTACTGTAAAATATATAAAATGTAAAAAATATATTATATTCATTATCTGCACTATTATATTAATAGAAAGCTTATAGTACAGATGTACTATTAATGTGTCATAGGTCGAGACATGAGGTACGTTAGCAACTCTGGTTAAAAGAACAACGCTCTTGTGGTTTAAATAACAAATACAGATGCATGAAACAATGCGACCACTCATGGATTTGCTACTAGTAATAGAGATATTAAAAGTTTAACACTTAGGAGAAAGTAAGAGTATGGTGGGAGGATATAAAATACTTGATCTCTCCGAACTATATAAAAACTCACGCCTGTTATTTTACAGAGTATATTAACAATATATATGAAAATGCACAGATTTGTGAGATTTTCTTTCATTTTGTTGATATCTGCTGGTTTTAATCTCGGTGAGTTTCTAAAATTTAATTTTGATTATATATGTTTCTATCAGTTGTTCAAGGAACTTTTGATTCATTCTTCTTATTCTATGAGGCGGATCAAGTTGTAATATTAAAAATCACCATGTCTTTTATATTTTTAGGTGACCGGGCAACTCTCGTTTACAAAATCGACGAGTCTGGGGCTTATTCGTTCGCAGCAGCTACGAACTTCGATTTTAACCTAACTAATGGAGACACGTTTTTACAATCAGATAAAATGATGTATTCAACAAGTGATGGCTCGCTAAAATTAGGATGTCAGTACCCAGTCTATATGCTTTGTTTTGTGTCAGTTTAGAAAGAATGTGCCATTTTATGTCATGTTATTAGTGGTAGTTTATTCAATCATGATATCTATTAGGCGTAACAACAACTTCTTGTAATTTACATTTCGGTGAAGTTTTCAATGGATAAAATTTACTTTGCTCATATATGTATAGCCCCACCTAAGTCAAAATGGAACTTGGCAGAATATGACAGATGAAAAATTGTAGCAAGCTTTAATGCTGTCTATTTTTAGCAAGTGCGAAAATATCTGGCAACGATGTACTTGGATCATATCAAGGAATGCTATTCAATTATAATGCTGGAAATGACGCTCATATGCAGGATCATCTTATGGTTTATAATGGAGGGGAGTTTGTAAGGTTTACCCAGGTTAGATATTTCAACACAAATTACGAAGGGTATATACACTTGAATATTAAATAATTTTGATATACAATACCAAGCAATGCCAAGGCAGGCAGATGTATTTGATAAACCTACAAATAATTTTTTCCAAACTTGGCGCTCTTGCATACATTGACTTGTACACATACTCGCACTATAAACTTTTTGGTGATCGTGGTTAGCAAAACACTTTTTGAGAACATAATGAAAACATAAAGAATATTTTGCATTATCAGAATTACGGAAATAATGGCGTGAAGTACAGCAATATTTCCAATACCGAGGGCGTGCTTTCTTCTTTTCCGAGTTTCTTGACAAACAAAGGAACAAGAAATCTCGGTTTCATACATTTAAATGGAGACATGTGTGGAGCCGGCTTCAGTATATCCAAGTAAGAATATACAAAAGCTACAATAGTTTTTGGCAGAAAATGCATGGTTCAGATAAAGGTATACTAGTGATAACGATATTAAATATACAAACCGAGCGTATAACATTGCTGAAAATTGCTATTCTTATCGCTAGCTTCTCTATGGGTGAAGACATGCTTCACAGTGGAACATCTGCCGGTCCGTTGGTTATTTTTGACGAGATGGAGAATGTGATGATAATTTCAGCTTTCAATAATTTCATGTCCCATGGAATGATTTACAACAAAACCTCACATCAGTTAAACTTCGGTATCCTGGGTGGTTTCACCAACATTCCTAGAGAGTATGAGGTGAGATGAAAAACTGCGAAAATCCAGGAAAAGTTTTAGGATTTTTGATTAGTAAAATTTTATTTGATATTGGGGTAGAATTCTGGAATCGTGTTATATTTTACTACAGAGATAATTTAAGTAACACATCGTGAAATCCAACGACTTCCATTTCGTACAAATCGAAATACCATTAGCCAGGTGGAATAACCAGAAACAATTGTCGCGGTGTCAGTCAAAATAGCTTGGCACGCAGAATGAGTGCAATTTTCCAACAACATCATTTTATATCACTCCAACATCAAGAACACCTGCTGATTTTTTTTATATTATATTATGTTTTGTGTTTACTATTCTGAAGGACTAAAAAAATCAGTAACCTTTAAATCAGTGGTTCTCAACCTTTTACTGACCGCGTACCACTTTACTGTTTTTACTCTGGCCGCGTACCACCGAAAAATCCCTGTTTTGGCGTGGTGAACAATGGCACAAGACACGCGCTAGAGGAGTATTTTATAATGTGGCTCTACATTCTTCGTGACCCAATTCGCAAGACGGACGAAAACATGCCCATATCATTTCGTGGAAAATAGCAGGCGAGAGCGATCTGTAAAGACTGGACTGGTCCATAGGACGTTTCTTCGACCCCTGACCCCAGAAAAATTCTGCCTATACTGTACTATTGCAAAAAAATATATACTTACTTTGAGAGTGTTTTGTTGTGCTGGCGCTCATAAGCTGGTTTACGTGTTTGAAACCCTCATTTTTATTAAAATTAATCAACCATGTCACTTACAGGCGCTGGTAGTTTAGACTAGTCTATTGCAGCATTTGCGAGACTCATTTTTGATTACACAACTAAATTAATGCTCCTTTGAAGACATAATGACAATTAAGATATTTCATTCACAACTATTTTCTTGAAACACAACTGAAAACTGACAAATAACAGCCAAAACTACAAAACGAGGCAATGTTCACTGATTATTGCTGGATACGGAAATAAACAAGGATATTGATGCCGGGGAAAAAATTCATTCAAACATTCAAGGTCGTTCAGCGAATACATACGTATGAAAGATGAAGCGTTGACGGCATATTTTGGCCAACTCAAAAGTTAATTGTTGCAATAATTCAAAGCTGCTCGCGTACTGCTTGATCATCTTCCGCGTACCACTAGTGGTACGCGTACCACAGGTTGAGAACCACTGCTTTAAAGGAATCAAATATTTACAATAAATCATTATCAGTTTTATTCGAACATACTATTGAAATCGTTATCATCTATGCTTTTTTGCTTACAAGTCGCAACTAGTTTACCTCGTGTTAAATGTATTTTCATTTTCAGCTTTCTGCAGAAGCGCAGCGAATGCGTGTGTCTAGCTCGAGTAGCCTACAGTCCGTCTTTGTTTAATTTAAGAAACTTTATTTAGTGTAGTCTGAGAAGCACATTATTCAAAAATCAATTAAAATTGTAAAAATCAAATCTGCAGATTGAGACAATTCTATATTATGGAAGCGAAGGAATAAATCGTGCAATAGAGGAATGGGGAGCAATCATCGGGAGAAGATATGGAAAAACGAGAATGCATAGGCAAAACGACATGACTATTAGCTACCTGGGATACTACACAGACAACGGTAAACATATTTTTGTTAGAAGCTATCAGTCCTATTGCGAAAATGATATATCCGTTTACCTGGTCCAAAATATGTCGCGTAATTATAATTACATTTTCAATTATGATTCAAAAGCTGTAAGAATTGATTGTTCCCCGAATTATTCTATTGGAATTTGTTTTCTGTTATATACAAGGCTATAATTTGGTCGCTCATAACTTTAGGAGCTTTCTACTACTATAATACCGAAGTGAACAAAACTTATGAGCAGACTATACTTGATGTAACAACTGCAGCTAAAACATATGGCATACCATTCCGATACGTTCAATACGACTCCTGGTGGTATTATAAAGGAACGAAGGATGGAGTGAAAGAATGGGTGGCTGAACCATCGATTTTTCCGAATGGAAGCGAGTAAGATATGTTTCTATGATAAAATTCTAGAATAAACATCACCAAAATTATTATAAATAATCTACTACGATGACGTGAAATAAAGATACAGGTGCTTTCAGAAGGGTTCCATTACATTTGAACCCACGTACATTTGAACCCATGACAATTGCACCTGTATGCTATTGCACCTATGGAATTTTTTTTGTTTCACGGATAGTTAAACCCATACTAACCCTAACCCATGGGTTTTAGCACCCGCATATAGATTGAACCCGTGGATATACGGATGGGTTCAAATGTACATGGGTTCAAATGTACGGTCACCTTTCAGAAGACAAATACAAAGTTCTGAATGAAGAAAAATACTGCGAGTTTAATGAGTCACTCGCAAATAGTTTCCAGTAAACACTCCGTCGCCCGCTTTGTGATTTTTATATTGCGATGTTATTTGTCATTCAATATATTTTGATTATTACAAATGAGCTGATCACTCACAGTTCACTTACTTTAGTTGGGAAACTTAAAATCTTAAAATATATCCATAACTGACGTCATCAATGCAATTAAGGCAATCTATCAATTACATAAAATACAGGAGGTTCATACTTGACAATCTGAGAGATCGATTTAGTAAAATCGAATCAAACTGATATTCTCATTAAGAGCATTATTTGAAGAGCATGGAATGCCCGTTGCTGCTCACAATCGTTACTGGTCTTCAGATACAGTGTATGCAAAAGATAATGGTGGAATGTATTCATTTGATATAGACAATATGACATCAAAAGCATTGCCGACTGACAAGGTAGATATAATTGGGGTATGTCGATGAGTACCAGCATAATCCTTACACAAATGTGAATAACTTATGTATAAAATACACTATCCGACCCTTTATACTTTCGCACTCATTCGTCATTCAGTTTCCATTTTAAATCAAAAGTGGTGGCAAACTCTACAAGATTTATATCTAAATTAAACATTTAGACAAATATTATCAAAACTTTGAAATACGATCTTTACAAAGCAAAATTACAAATGTATATGTATAATTGTGTTTATTCTTGTTACCCATCAACATGAAATATATTTTTTAGATATTCTGGTCTGACCTTTTCCACAATTCTACAGCATGGGGGCTCAGGATGTATGAGCAAGACTGGTTGGACGTAGAATTTGATGGAATAGCTGTATGTCTATAAGTTGCTTACCGTGCCTTTATCATAGATTTTCAATATAGCTTTAGCAATTATTCGGAAATAACGTTGACCAAGTTTCGAATGGTTTCTGTAAATAATATGCATTGCGTAGTACACTTTTAGACGGGTTATACTAAAAACCAGAAAGAGATATAATGCAATCAATATATTTTTAATTATTTCATCTAGTAGGAAATTTTATATTACAGGATTTCAAAACTAACATTCACCTCGGAAAAACATGGCTAATGAATATGGGACAGGCCGCAGAAGAGCATGGTTTAACAGTTCAATATTGTATGGCTTTACCAAGACATATGTTACAAAGCATAGAAATTCCAGCTGTTACTCAGGTATTACCTGAAATCGATATTTTGCTAAACTTTGACAATTTATGACGTTTGAAGTGAGATGCTTTTACAGACATATACAGTGATTGATACATTAATATAAAATTATGCGGTTATTTATGATAACTCATCAAAATTCATCAATTATTCTCGTCGAGCAAGATGATGAATTTGTAACTCAAAATCATTACCAAGTTCTTGGATTTTCCACAAATTATTGAAGAAAATATTTTAAATAAAAAGGTTCAACCCCATTTTACTCATTAAAGGCTCGTGTGAGTGGTGATTATCACCCCGGAAATGATCAGTGGAAAATTGGTATAACTTCTATGTTTGCACATGCGTTGCATTTGGCTCCGTTCAAAGATACATTCTGGAGTACATCCTCGCAACCAGGAAACCCGTACAGCAAAGACGCTTCTGAACCGAACATAGATCTTCAAGCCACTATTGCAACTCTAAGCACAGGGCCAGTTGGACCGGGAGACAGTGTTGGTAAGCGTTATTTTCACAGTATTGCTTCATAATTACTTATACTTATTTGATAATTAATGTATAAATTCCATACAAAAGTGATGCATCTAAATCGAAAAGTTTTAGGTATTCATTCTCACGCTCGTACATTTAATTAGGTTATACTTCCACCCTTGCTTCAACAAAATCATGTCGTAGCGATGGACTGCTACTGAAACCATCAAGGCCCGTTACAATGGTTGATCAACATATTGTCAATAGAGCTTTTCCAAAGAACATGAAAACAGGTAAGAGAAATGAAGGGAATAATGAGCTAAATTTTGGATCCATATTTGGGTTAACAAATGTTTAACTAGATGAACCTAGTTTAATTAATCAGCTTATTTGCAAGATACCCTGAAATACTTGAGTAACTCGCTAATCAGATAAGTACAGAATGCTCGACAATTTGCTATGGCTGTTTCAGTCAATATGATACATGTAGGTCGTGATATTTTATCTTACTTGATATATATATCTACAGTGCATTTATAATATAGGATCGGCAAATATTGATGCTGAAGTCTACTTTACGTACACCGATATCTTTTATTCTTCACGACCTCAAAGACACGGAATAATTCTCGCAACAGATATCAATGTTGACAACTTCAAAGTATATCCCAACTTGATGCACCTCGACACGCAGGTATAGCCCATTTCAGACAAAAATATCTACTTCTTTATACACAAGTTTTGGTACTCCTGAAGTATGCGCACCAAGATGTCGCATAACTTGAACCCTAACCTAGTACACAACCTGAGTTAAGGCTGTGCGCCATCTTGGTGCGCATACTTCAGGAGGTCCCAGGTTTTTTATTTCAATACTTCAACATTTTTGTTATACAACAATGCGATAGATAAAAATAATTGATGCATTTAGTATGGCAGAAGACGCTTTACACGCATACCCCTTACAATCAATAGGCTACTTATTGTTTCGATTTAGTATTTGGTGGCATTTTCCCCGTAAGCGTAAAGTAAAATTGTTTGCATGACTAAAGCGGTTGAAAAAGCATTTAAGACATTTTAGGCCGAAACAAAGCCGTTCAGAAATCTATAATATACCTATAAAATGAACAAACAAAGATTTTGTGTCGGGATTTTAAAACTATACCGCCAGTAATTCTTGTCCGACCCCGCAACATTGTTTGCGACTTATCGACCCTTTTAAATTGTTAAAAATGAAAAATACAGCAGAAATAATAAGAATGTTACTATTTTTTTCAGGGAGATGTGAAAAACTATTTGGCTTATCATGGACATCCTGGCGATGATGCAATTTTAAACGTGATAAATGCCACATCTCCAATGACCATGCCAAAATGCGGTAAAGCGGACTTTCAGATGTGGTATGCGGCACCGATTATTAAAATGAGGTGGGAAAATATATATAGGTCATTTAGTTTCCAATTCATTCATCGCCATATCTTAAGTCAAACAGGAGTCATTTGTTATTGATGCGAGTGACGAGTTGGTTATCAAACATTGAGTGTCTAATTTGTTAGTGATTAATACAATAGAAAGGTATTCGTAAACTGAACTGATAAACTAAAATATTCTAATCGACGCGATCGTTCGGAACAAGCCTTGTACGTTTTATACAAGTAAAGTTACAAGATTACCTTAGCATCAAGGCTACGTACAAATTTTAGCCCAAAATTGAGAGTTATTGCCAGGACAACATTTTGGTCAATTATTCCCGGCTTCAACGTATACGTTTGTAGGTTATATTTAAAACTTTCCCATTTCAGTACGGGTACCCGGGTCGCAGTCCTTGGTGAACGTGGAAAATGGGTTCCGGTGTCAGAACAAAGAATAAATCATATTGAACACAAAGGGGATAATCTACTTGTGGATATTAAGGGTGCTGTAAACGAGGTGAAACATTATATCGAGTGAACTTCTCTACAATGGTACTTATGATGAAATAAGAAACAAAATTTTGATTATGTAAAGCTTTCAAGTTTGATCCTTCTGTTGTTTGCTTTGGTAACAAAGCTCTAAGTTAACAGCACATTTGCACCCGTAAATTGCAGCCAGGACATTTGAACATGCATATTTTTGCACCCACAGATTTTAGCATCTGTACATATTTGCACCCCTAAACATTTACACCCACGAATAATGGCACGTATGGACATTTACATCAATGTGCATTTGCACCCACGGCTATTTTCACCCATTACATTTACAACCACAGACATTATTACCCAGGGACATTCGCTCTCGCGGACATTTACGCCCACATATATTCATACCCGCGTACATATGCACCCATGGACATTTGAACCCACGTTCAGTTGCACAACGTACATCAATGGGTGTGAATGCATTTGGCGGCAAAAAAGGGTGCGTGCAAATTTACCTGGAATAAACGTTCATTGGTGCAAACGTCCGTGGATGCAAAGTTCATGGGTGCGGTATATATATGGGTGCTAAAATCTGCGGGTGCAATTGTCTATTGGCGCAAATGCCCGTGGTGCAGATACTCTAAAATTGAACAGAATGGTATTGCTTGGCATATAGACTTTTCAACAGATGCGAAAATAAAATTGTTTACTTCATCATGAAAACACAATGTTTTTTTTTAAGATTCCACTCAAACAATGCATTACAGATACGCGTTTGTGGCAAGTTCTTTTCCTGATTAGACAGGGTCAATGAGAGGGAACTATATACAGAATAGCTCTATACCATAAACATTCATGATTTACTTGACTCGGATTAGTCAGGCTCGGATTCGTGGCTCCGATTAGTCCTTAAGTATGAGCAGGCAAAATTGTATTTCAGTCCAATTTTAAGACATTATATTCATTCAACTTCAAGTCACATGTTGAAAATGAATACTGCTTTACGACTGATTTAAAATTTTGTTGAAATTAACTTTCGTTTTATATTTCAGTTTGTGCAATTCGGATTCTCATTGAACGAAACAGTGGTGTTTGTGGATTGCAACATTCCAGCTACAGGAACAGCAAGAATCAGTTTGAATTCGAGAATTTGTTTTGATACTTAATTCACTGTAGCATTATACAAAAAATACAATCTGGCAACAGTCAAAGTTTATGTTTAATAATAAACCATTCTAGGTACAACCATAGATATAAAAAAAAACAGGTCAAAAACATTTGTTTTACGTGCATTAGCGAGCATATTAGTGTTTCGCAAAACAACTAATTATACGCGTCTGTGGTTGGTGACGTAAAGGCTAAACGCATTTATATCATTATACAAAAATCCAATCAGGCCACAGTCAAAGATTGTGTTTAACATAAATACGCCATTTTTTGTACAGCCATAGATGAAAAACTGGGCATTTGTGTTACATGCATTAGTGTACATATTAGTTTTTCGCAAAGCAACTAATTATACGCGTCTGTGATGGGCGACGTTTGTGATGGGCGTATGAGCTCATTGTGAAAACGGAGGCATATAGTTGTTCGTTAAATCAAAACACAGATTCGAATTATAAAGTCACGAAATTACCACTAATTATTCAAAAAAAGCCAGCGATTTACTTTGCAAAAATAGTATTGAGTGGTATAAAATTGTCAAAATAATTGATAAGTGTGGAATATTCAGTGTGTTTATTTAGTGGAAATGCACAAAAATTACATTCGTTTGTCCATAAGCAACTGTGAGCACGTGACATTTATGATATCTCGTATTTTTGAAAAAGTCATATATTTAAACTTATTGTCCCCTTTGCCCGCGTCGACTATCAATTCAATCTATCTAAATCTAAACTACACAAAAAGATTGGTTAGTACTGGGATTTCCCATGACGTCGAATCGCCCCTCAAACACCTTTCCATTGGGTGGCGTATACAGATTTTCCATAACAGTGATGCGATCACACATTTTCAGCCCTTTGGCAACGTTAAGAAAATATTAGATAGAGTTTAGGTCTCACAGTAATAACGTAATATTATCCTGGGGCTTCAAAGTATTCAATTTTGTTACAATTTTGATCCAGAAACAAACAAATACTTTTGTAAATATATATAAATATATATACAGTGTAACAAATTTGAGAATACTCATATGTATTAATAAATTCTTTCTAACGGGCAAATCTTCTAAATTGGGACCAGTATAAATATATATATATACTCCTGTTTTTTTCGAAAAATAAATATTGGATTTTAAAAACTTATAGCGCGTAAGTGTTCATCGAATTTAAATAAGTTGTGCGGATACTAGACTTCGATTTTGAAATATCCGGGCAAGTTTCATCATTCCTTTGATTGGAGTATTTTATTTCACACTTGTTTCCTTGAAAATATCATCAGTAATCAGTATTCTATTTTGATTGATCAAAGCAGAATTGCCCGTGGCATATTTTGTATATGGATCATTGAATAAAAACTCGTGATCAAAAGTTGATCTGGAAAATTCGGTGGCAATGTTGAGCTTGCCAGAAAGCAAATTAGATTCAACAGCATCAATAAACTCAAATTTCTCAAACAGTAGGGGAAGGTGGGGCACGCTGGGACATGGGGCACAGTAAAAAATCAGCTCTCACACTAATACTATATTCGGAATCCGGTCCGCGGTTTGATGTTTCAATCCGCCCTTCGGTGAGTTACAACGTCCACGCAAACGGGCAGCGGACGGGTAGAGCGACGCAAGCTATGAGGTGAAATTTGTTTTGGGGGGTTGAAACTAAAGTTTCACCGTTCCAATTTTTCTTTTTTCTAACTTAGCCTTTTCAACGTGACAAACCACCGTCTGATATCTTTCAGCTATAGTCCACTGTGAAATATTTATAACGTTGGCGAGTGGATGGGCCTTCCGAATTTTGCCGATCTGAAGATATTTGTTGATTATGGGGAACAATGGACCGGGGTTCAGTGGGACATGCCCTACATGGCACAATTCGACAGTGTTTGATACAACAAGTGCTTAGAGACCTAGAGATGCGGTATATTTTTATGGGTGACCGTACATTTGAACCCACGTACATTTGAACCCATGCGTATATCCACGGGTTCAATCTATATGCGGGTGCTAAAACCCATGGGTTAGGGTTAGTATGAGTTCAACTATCCGAAAAACAAAAAAAATTCCATAGGTGCAATAGCATACAGGTGCAATTGTCATGGGTTCAAATGTACGTGGGTTCAAATGTAATGGAACCATTTTTATGTAACATTATGGTATCTTTCAACTCATGGTCCAATATGAAATATATTCGAGAATCAAAAATATTTCCAGATTTAGATTCGGATTAGAAAATAATTTAATTTGTAAGCGAATTTTTTGGTGAAATATCTAAAATATTTCGGTTAAACATTGATTTTAAAAATCTTAAATCTTCAAATTTGAAGTCTCCCTGTTCTTTAGACGATTATGCTGATTGATTGCTTATTTTTAAGGGCATACTTCGTTGAATTTTAACAGAATGACCCATTGTGCCCCAGGGTCTGTCCGAATGTGCCCCATAAGTGGGGTACAGTGGGACACTTGACAAACGTTTTTCAAAGCATTTTAGTGGTAAGATGTGTGTCGCAAGGGAATTTCTTAGTCGCTGAATAAAAACTACATTTACCCCTCTCTGCATTTATCCCGCAAAGTCATATGAATGTGCAGAATAAAGGGCTCAAAATATGAAAAAGAAAAAAAGTGTCCCAACCTTCCCCACTTTCCCCTATATCAATTTGACTATTCCGCTATATTTCACGCTGGGTGATTTGCAAATATTATATATATATGGTGATATTACTGGTAGCTATGCATCCAAATTCGAGTTTGGACAACATTTGGGCCGCGCGTGTACGGAGAACATTGTCATAAACTGATTGACTATTGCTAGATTCAGGGAGTCCGAATTATCTTTCAGGCGGTTTCGTAATTCTGCTGATTATGTTTTGCTAACGTCATGACAGCTTCCTAGACGCACACCAACACTTTGCCTCTTACTAATTATCAGATTGCATAAGCTTTAGGTTACATCATACAACAATGTGTATGACTAAAGCGGAAATACGGTAAAATACCACACATTTTTCTACATATCATATGGATCAAAAAAAAAAGATTTGTGTAATAAATAAGCTGTGACCGATTGTACAGAAGTGAACTGAAAATAGCAACATGGGTAACACTGGTTCCCGTACTTCAACTATACCAACTCATCAGCCAACAGTAGAACATCCGATTGAAGCCCCGGCAAACGCAGGACTGGAGCATCACACAGAAACGCGCCATGAGCATCATAGACGTTCGCACAACGCCCATGCCGCTTTGGCTGTAGATCCATCCCCAGATATGGCAGAAGACTTCAACGATTTATCCACCAACTTGCATATAGCCGCAAATTCTGCTGCAGGATCCCATCATGACACTCCAGAAACTACAGAACATGGATCTACAACACATATAACGACTACCAGTGACCATCCAGACCGCGCGGGGAGTTAGATAAAATAATAGCAGTACACAGAATTTATATCGCAGCCACTATTAACTCTATATATAGACTATTTTCCTCGAGCTGGAACTCGGGACAAAGTCAGGAACGTTCACTCCAAAGAAAAATGACCCACTTAAAGCTGCCGAGAATCTTAAATCTGATTCGTTCAACTCAAGAGGAAAATATATTTATAGATATGGTTACATTTTGTTTTACATGCCTCTTATCTGGTATAAAATAAGTGGCACTAAGATTTGCTGTTAACTCAGTATAAAATCTTAAATTTTGGCAAATGAATTATAATAAAATAGTGTGAGTTTCAACTAAGTGTCGTATTATCTAAGCACCATGGCTATCCGCGCGAAACGACAGAAGAGTGTAAGTAGGAATTGAAACAGCTACTGTGAGAATATTTAAACGACAACAAAACCCCTTTTTATCAAGAAAGATGGATATGATACATAAATATGATTGCTTTCGTCACGCAGATGTTGGACACAGACGTAGAGAAAATCTGTTTTAGGTGTAGTTCACATTGCAGCGGGCCTGTCTGGACTAGACTTTTACTATAATAACGTGTTATAGTTAAAAATCCACACTTAGTGTAATTGTATGCCGAATTGAATGTAAACAGGCGCGGCGGTGTGGCTCATCGTGCTAAGCGTTAGGAATACGCTCGCCACCGCATCTCTGATTACCCTGCGTGGGTTCGCAGGTTCGAATCCCATGCGGAGTAGTTATGTGCGAGAGGACTGCTGGACTCCTCGCCGTCGTAGGGTGGTTCACGTAACCGCTGGTCGGTTACGGCTTCCTTCACCATCAAGTCCATGCTTCCGAAAAACAAATATAAAACTAAAACTAATCCCATACCCGACATGGACTGGTAACCGGACGAGAAGCCGTGCTTCGCCATATGGTTAAGCCGTCTTATCGGCTTTCCTCTCCCCCGGGATAAATATGTAAAATCCTATCCTATCCTAACATGCCGGTCGTAGCTGAGGGTATTTTCTTAAAAAGTAAAAAATGCTGTCACTGACCAAGAATTGAATCGTTCAGAAAAACTTTTTTGCCTCACGCAGTCCATACATTTCAACATCATTAGTCAGTTATGGAAAGTGCTGGATATACCATTAGGCGACGTAGGCTGAAGCCAAGGAGCCTCGACATTCGAATTTATATTTATTTTTAAGTCGTTTCTCAGTTTCAACGCTTGTTCAAGAATTTTATACGTTCAAAAATCTGCAAACTGATATATATATATTTTTTAAACGGGTTAATAATTGTCTCAGATATTTTCCGTTTACAAGGTTATTGAATACAGTCGATTTTTTCTAAATTTGAACAACCCAACCCCTTTAACTAATTCAAATTAATTGAACAGTTTTTACACTAATAATGCCTTCCATTTTTAAAAGGACGATAAAGCATCAATATAGAAAACTATACTAATTTATCTGAGCAACAACGAATCTAAGAATAATTTTTTTTACTATTTTTGGATATTTTTCTATCTTAAACTCGTTCATTAGAAAAATCAGATAATAATTTTTTATCAGTAACGTTCTATTTATCAGCAACTGAGGCCCTGGTTATGGGGTCAAAGGTCAATTCAATTCCTCGCTCTCTTCTAAAATCGCCGATATCGTGGAAACTGTATACAAATGTATATTTATTATTGGTCCCTTTGATACGCATACATCAATACTATTCAGATTTTTCCATTCTCATTAAAAAAGCGAAACCATAACCTGTATTAGTAGGACATCGAAACGCCGATTGCCCTTCATTTATCATAAAATAATAACAAGCACAAAGCAATGAAGACTTGGTTGAACAGATGTATTCTGAGACTGTACAAAATATGAACCACATAAATAGAAAATCTACAATACAAATACACACAAACAATGCAATTACTTGGTAAAAAGATACATTATTGGCACAGTTAAAGAGAATTACCCCATTCCCTGTATCACAGAGACAATGCCTCTAGAAGCAACATAATAACTTAGCATAGTCACTTAGAAATATAGATAAATTTGCTCTCTCATGGGATGATGGTGGCACAGATGTCCAAATTTACTGAGACATATATTCAGAAAAAACAGGTATTTTTTTCGGACTTCACCATCAAAGCACCGAATGGTTACATATTTACCATTTTAAGAATCAAAAATTTTAAAACAAAAAATATGACAAAAGACAGGTAGTAGCAATAACATGATATCAAAAAGTGCACATGAAAAAATTTGGCCACAAAATTGATTCAAACAGGAAGGATATATGCCAACAGGCTCATAAATTATAGTACTTCCTAAGACGAAAAACTACTTAATGTATCAAATAAAACAGAGCACATTTCCTACTCTCATTTCCTGTTTAAATAGGTTACACACAAACTACATTGAAAACTTTGCAATATATTTACTACAGCAGTGCAAAAAATTAACAAATGATTCAGTCAATGATTGACTTTTAATCTGAAAAATCTTCCCATCCATGTTATCAACTTAATTATGCAGGAGAATCTATTTGATTAGGTATATTCTGTATGACTATGTATCAAGTAATTTTGTAAGTAAGCAAACACTCACTAACTATATGGTAATATTTCAAATGGTGCAAATTCAATGAAAATTGTTGCATTTTTATAATTTTTTTATTGATATTTCAAACTGCTCTGCGCCTCCATACCGTGGCATGAGAAACAGTCCACTGATGTTTTCTTGCTGTCTCCCTTATAAGAAAAGGCATATCTTCTGCAACAACTAGTTCAAAATCAGGTAGTAAAATTGATTTCATAGTGTCGAATGCTCTCACGTCCTTACCAGAGGAGTCTTTATATCCTCCAAGCCATTTGCTCTGCAATATACATTTAAATCAGCTCCATGTTACATTACACAATATCAATGGGTTATCCAAATTCCATAATCTTATTCACTAAGAGAACGAACTACTGGTCGATAATGGATTTGTCATGCAGTCGATACACATAAATAGCCCCGCCAATGATTTATAAAATGCATCACACAGTAGAGCATTTCTCACATGCATTATAGTCCATAAATTTGTCCCCATCTTGAAATTTTGGGAACATACAGAAAGCAGTTTTACGGTGAGCAAAGTTAAGAAACTTAAACATGCTATGATTCTATGAAACTTACGGTAATATAACTTCAAACAATTTAATATTATTTTCAAAATACCGGACTTGTTTGTTCAAATTTGAGAATTATGTACAGGAGCATTTTCACACAAGAACAATCCTATGTAATTCAAATTTGAATGAAACTCCTTATACATTGGGACATTCATCAAATTTAATACATACCTTTGGAGTATATTCATGGAGAAAAGTGTAAGGACTTAAAATAACACAAATTCCACCTTGAGCAACTAAATTTTTAAGACGCAATAAAAATATTTTTGGATCAGGTAATCGACATATTAAATTTGCTGCAAGTACGCAACCGAATTGTCCAATGTCCAGAGGTAGATTGCAAGCATCACCTTGTTTGAAAGAACACCTTGATGTATCCTAGGAAAAAATTTGATGTTATTAAAGTGCTAAGAAAATTACAAACAATGCAAGGACACAATTATCACACCTACGCGAATAGTATTAAATATAAAAGTAAGATAATATAAACTAATAATATTATTTATGGTATATAATCGTGCAAAAACATGGAGTAATCAGCTGACAATCTGCAGTGCAATATCTTGAATATCAATTCTACCAGTTGTTATGGTCAACTAATTGTAAATCAAATAAAAAATATGTAGTATTTACCACATCAGATGGAACCAATGCAACATGCTTAGTAGTCAGGGCTCCTTCAGTAGGAGCTTCATACTCGAGACGACCATTTTTCGCTAATACTTCACATGTTTTTGCGAAGCCGTAACTAAAATCCATTCCGATTGATTCCCTGAAATACTTCGCAAGCTCAAATGTTGAACGACCAACTGCACATCCTATATCAAGAGATCTCTCAACAGAACAAACCTACATAAATATGTGAAAGAACTACATCAGATGCAACTCCTAAAAGGCCAAAAAAGTTTGCCTTACAATCGTTAACATGATACTGATGAGTCGTGATGACCAACATTTGAAATTAAATCAATGCAACTATTACTTGCTGAATAGTTAGTGTAAATGACTTGAATTAAAAGCATGAAAAAATTGTTTGAAAAGAAAACCCTCACCAGTCTTCCCCTAAAACAGATAACAATATCTCAAGCATTTAAAAAATAAATGAAAATCAAAATTACAACAGCAACTTTAAAGACATTTTTGATGGTTTAATACAAACATATATCATTTTAGATGTAGGCCTATGTATAAATGTTCTAAGGCTATTTATAAATAAAATAATACACAACTGTATTCTCACCATTGAGTCATAATGCTTCACACAAAGCTCTGCACACCTTACTGGGAAATCAAACCCATTTCTTGGACCAATATCATGAAGACAATTGACTTCTGGACCCCCATAATGAAACATTAAATATTCGTTTAGAAGCTTTTCAGATTCATAAACATTCCCAGTTTTTGGCTCCGTTGAATTCGTTTTCTCAATCTTCATCTTTAATAATTTGTATGCTGCAACAAGTGCGAGTCCACCACCTATGAAGAACAGTAGTTCATATTAACATTACTGTATTATGAAGTTGAAGTAACTGCTGAACTGGGTGATCGGATAGAAAATCCAAAAGTAGACCCTCTATAATACGGTACTGTCAGACTGTACCGTATTCAATACCATGTCTGATGGTACCTAATACAGTAATATTGTAACTAGGGCTGGGAATGGTTAACCACTTAACCGATTTCAGATGCTTAACGGTTACGATTTATTTTAACCGTTAACTGACATCTCAGGTACAAATCACCTTCATACTGTACAATTTCTTCAAATATGATTACATCAGCGCAAATTTATCTCTTGTGGCATTTACCGTAATTCAAAAGAATATTACTAACTGTGTGGGTAAGGACTCAATTAAATGTGAAAAATAATGGAAGTACCAAGATTGCTGATTATGGAAATTTGACAATGATGAATTCAGAATCAGTTTTCGGTCGATTTTGAAATATATTGTTCACGATTTCATTGCAAAATCGGATATTCAATGTCATACAACAAGTGCGCAGTTGATGCCGTTTTTCTTTATATGATATAACGTTATACATCTCGAAGTAAAATTTGCACATCGAACACTGATAATTTGCCACATTAATGACGTTTAACAACGGAATGAGGTTTTCTAAAATACTTCCACATGCCCGAACCACGCTGCCTATCTCTCGCAGCAGAGCAATCATGAAACTATCTCGATTCGTGAATAATTTTAAGATTTTGTATTCCGGTACCGGTATCTAATCTCAGAGTCTACTGATCTACCCTTTTTGCAAGTCTGTTGACTTTTGTCAGTTTGTTTAATATGATTATGGTAGACTACCTACTTAAATTTATAAATTCCTAATAGACTTAATTTTTAGTACCGGTACCCCGTAAGTTTGCTAGCGAAACTATGCATTAGGACAGGATTCACATATACTAGCATAGGATAAAAAATAAAGAAACTTACCAAACAGAGATGCAGCACCTACTAAATACTTCACCACAGACGAGTCTGAACTCTCACTAGTCATCTCTGCCTGTCTTGCACACTACGCATCAGATCAATACCAAAGAATCACGAGCCTTGTGATCGATTGATTGCGAAGTGATTATATTCACTTTGTTGTGAAGAAAGTACGGTACGGTACCGGCAACCTCAGGCTTGCTTTAGCTATCACGATGACTTTGTAGAATTTATATAAATACAATCCGACACGGTAAAACGGATTCCTAAGTCTAAATTTTTATTTTACAATTTATAATACCGCTGGTCAAGCCGTAGTAGTATATATTTACGGTCTAACTCAGGGATAGGATAGGATAGGATAGGATTTACATATTTATCCCGGGGGAGAGGAAAGCCGATAAGACAGCTTATCCATATGGCGAACCACGGCCTCTCGTCCGGTTACCATTCCAAGTCGGGTATGGGATTAGTTTTACTCAAAGTGACTATTATAGTCACTTTGGTTTTACTGTATTGTTTGTTTTCGGAAGCATGGACTTGGTGGTGGAGGAAGCCGTAACCGACCAGCGGTTACGTGAACCACCCAACGACGGCGAGGAGTTCGAACCTGCGAACCCACGCAGAGTAGTTAGAGGTGCGGTGGCGAGCGTATTCCTAACGCTTAGCCCGTTGAGCCACACCGCCGCCGACGGTATATGGATAAGCTGTCTTATCGGCTTTCCTCTCCCCCGGGATAAATATGTAAATCCTATCCTATCCTATCCCTGAGTTAGACCGTAAATATATACTACTACGGCTAGACCAGCGGTATTATAAATTGTAAAATAAAAATTTAGACTTAGGAATCCGTTTTACCGTGTCGGATTGTATTTATATAAATTCTACAAAGTCATCGTGATGGCTAAAGCAAGCCTGAGGTTGCCGGTACCGTCGCCGACGGTGAGCCACACCGGGTGGTCCAAACCCAGGCCCGCGGGCCCGCCGTTGCATTTTATGTGGCCCGCGTCGCTGTCAGTGAATTAACTAGTGTTTATGGCTATCTGAGGCAACTAGCGAAGTTGAATGATGTGCTTGGCAAGTCTAAATTGTAACCGGTTTCTATACTTTCGGTCGGGAATATATGCTTACGAAATTGGCTTCATAGAAAATAAAAATTGAATTAGGAGTCCATTAGCCTAGCTTGACTATGCCTGATAACTAGACCAATACGGTTCCTTTAATTACCGGAACGGACCCTAAATTACCGGAACGGACCGGAACGGGGTGGAAAGCATACATAAACCTACCGGAACGGACCTTTAGATGTCTTGCAAATGTCATTTCATATACTTCCATGCAATTTTTATATTAAATCGGCAAACTTGGGGGGGGGGGATAGTGGTAAATTTAATTTTCTTTAATTACCGGAACGGACCCTAATTTGCCAGAACGGAGTGGAAAACCTACATAAACCTACTGGAACGGACCTTTAGATGTCTTGCAAATGTCATTTTATATACTTCCTTGCAATTTTTATATTAAATCGGCAAACTTTGGAGGAGAGGAGGGGGGTCAGTGGTAAAAATAATTTTCTTTAATTACCGGAACGGACCCTAAATTGCCGGAACGCAGTGAAAAACCCACATAAACTTACCGGAACGGACTTGTATATATCTTGCAAAGGATATTTTATGTTCTTCTAGGCGATTTCTCAAGTATAATGAGAAAATTTGGGGGGATAAATGGTAGAAAATATCAATTTCATTTTGCGCCACCTAGCGGATGTAAATTGAGCAATGAATTCCTGAATCATCTCTTATCAATATGAATTAATGATAAAAATCGATAATCAAAACCTTCTTACATGTTATTAGCCCTTTTCCTTGTAGATAAGATAACGTAGTTATAGATTCAGATTGAAACAAATAAAAATTGTTTCCACAAACATTCTTGTGCAGGTGTTGTAACTATGTAGCACAACATGAATATCCACCTAAACCTGTCATTATTAAAGATAATGTTGTTATTTTAGTTCGCGTTCCTGTCAGCCGTAAAGACTGCCGTTCGTAATCTACCGTGATAGATTGCATATTGCTTTGTGTACATATATTTGAGCATCGTTCTCTTGTTTACCTACATACAAACAAATCTGATCCTCTAAAATGACTCCTTCAGAATTTACTAATATGCTAAAAATTGTTTCCACAAACATTCTCCTGTGCAGGCATTGTAACTATGTAGCTAAACATTTTATATTGGAACTGGTTAAAGTACGTGACCTTAAATTATAATGAAAGTGGGGATGTCGTTGGATTTCATCAAATATGAATTATTTCTGATATATATGTAAATATGATATATATGTGATATATATATATATCGGTAAATATATAAAACCTTACATAAATGTTTAAATATATCAACAAGAGAGCTATGCTCAAATATATGGACACGTAGAGTCACATAATTTTGATGACGTCATAGCGAAAAAAAGTAATAGCCTTCTGGAGAAATTTTTATCTTTAACCACTGAAAATTTCAAAGCAATTGGTCCAGTATTCGAAGAGAAAAGCGACTTTTTAAAAACGTGTCAAAGAACAACAACAACAACATAATATTGAAACGATCGTTATGTCCACTACGTGTCCAATAACGTTAACATATATGACAAAATACTTGAATTTAAAATTTCAGCATTGAAAAATGCGAGAGTTGACCACGAGATTTCTTTGCGACAGAAAAGCGACATATGTGCCATTTCGAATTAATATTCGAACTATTAGCATCAGAAATTTAAAGCAGATTATTTACGATTCTTGTAATTGTACCCCTAGTTTTTATATCTTCTCCATCAACGTGCCAAGGATAGGAGGAGGACCAAGCCAGTTGGACGATTTTATCGGTATGTTCAACTTTTGCTAGCTCAGATAACTTGTATTTTATATAAGGATTAAATATATTTATTGAAGTTTACTACGAATGACAAACTACGAATGATAACCTCAAATGGTGTCCATATTTTAAAAGTGTCTTTGTTGCAAAACGCTAAGATCTTGAATGTACCTATATAATATATGAATGAGTCAGGATGATAATTTTTAATTGTACTAGTCGATATCAAATATACCTTTATTACTTTTAACTAAGAGTTCCATTTTCTGGTTCAGATATTCAACGCAAACGTCAAAAGACAGCCTACTACGCTATGTCTAGTGCATTAATATACCCATGTGCCACCTGTTCCATTGAATGCAGTGACGAGTGCATTGAATGTGAAATGTGTGAGACCTGGACACATGCTTCCTGTCTTGGAGAACAACCAAAAGTCATGGAAGTAGGGAGCAAGAAAGACATGCACTTTTTATGTGCAAGGTGCTTGTGCCCGAATCAAAAGTTCGATTACGGATGTTATCAGGTCGCCTATACTTGACCAAATCGTTGCAATGTTTGTTAGACAATCATCGTGTTATACCTTTAGAAGCACCACAATCTGAGAATCATATGGGAGAATATTCAGTGTCTAAGAATATATTGCAAAAGTTTCATCCAATCATGCTGGACTGTTTTACTCCAGTGTACGTGGAAGGCGATGGAAACTGCTTGTACAGGGCAGTATCCGTCTCGGTATTTTTTTTTTATATTTGATTTTTATAAATAAAACAATATTGTAATAAACAATATTAACTCAGCAAAAAAGTAATTTATCACAATGTACAATATTGCAAAGAATACTATTAATCGATACAAATACCAAATATCGGAACAAAAAGTAATTTCTCATAATGTATCATAACTTTTTATCAAATAGTCTTGCAGTATTAATACAATACAAACAATAGGAATGTAAAATAAAAATCATGTATGCATTTGCATGTATGGTTTAAACAACGTTGATACAAAATTACTGACAATAGGAACTGATGGCGAAAAAGCTATGCGTGAATCAATCTCTGAAAACTTTCCTGATTCAACTAATACCTGTCTATACCAAACTAATTTATTTCTTATTGTTATTTTTATTATTATTACGATGACTGTTATTTTTGGTTGACGAAAAAATAAATCTCTCTCTCTCTCTCATTTGAAGAATAATGTCGAGGAATTTATGAAGAATAAAGTGTGGCTGAATGTGAGCTAAAGAAAACACATTAATGAGACCATCTTTGGACGTACATGGATAATAACAACTAAAAATGAAGAATCATTTGCAAAAAATCCCTGTCCAATCCAATATAATCACTGTCGGGTGTTTTTTTTTTGCAACCAGCCTAAACACTATTACAAAAAAATGCTGCCTATATGTCAGAAAATTTAGTAATTGCCCTCCTGTATCTCACATTTCGTGAAATTCAGTAATCAATCAATCTTCAGTTACTTTGTGAACATGAGTTTGAAAAGAAAGCTGACCAATTCAAACAAATTTTTGACTGGATACCGTACCGTATGGGAGGAAAAATATCACAATGCTTGCTTAATATGTCGGCAAGTTGTGTCGGTGACAAACTAAAATGGCCTTTTCTTCTCAAAGTACTGTTCGTCTATTCTTGTCATTATTGTGGCCCGCGAACAGAGAGAGAGAGAGTGAGATTTATTGCCACAAAAACAAAATCAACACTAATATAAACAATAATAACAATAATAGATAATAATATAATGAAGAAAATATTTCATCAGTAATAAACAGCGATTGAATATTGTTTAGTGCGGGTCGATGTGCAGGACCGATTAAGGTCATCTATGCTCTCGACCCTTTTGTAAATGCTGTATATAGGGTTATCATGGCATAATATAGTACCATGGGTAAATGCAAATGGGATTAAATAAAATATATATAAGATAAAGAAATGAGTGAATGAGTCGGCAATTTAAAGTTATTATTATTAAAGTTATCAAACAATACAAAAATTATAGTGTGGCCCGCGATGCCGACAACCTTGGACCACCCTGGTCTAACTCATTGCTTCTTTATGATAGCATATGATTTACATATTCATCCCGGGGGAGAAGAAAGCCGATAAGTCGGCTTAATCATATGGCGAACCACGGCCTCTCGTCCGGTTACCAGTCTACGTCGGGTATGGGATTAGTTAGCCAGCTATTTGTTTTCGGAAGCATGGACTTGATGGTGGAGGAAGCCGTAATCGACCAGCGGTTACGTGAACCACCCTACGGCGGCGAGGAGTCCAGCAATCCTCTCGCACATAACTATCCCCCTATGGGATTCGAATCTGCGAACCCACGCAGAGTGATCAGAGGTGCGGTGGCGAGCGTATTCCCAACGATTAGCACAATTAGCCATACCGCCGCGCCAACGTCAATTGTTACCGTACGTTCCCTTTTGCATCTTGCTGACTAGCAAATGTTAAGGTAAGGTAAACAGGAAATTCGACGCTTGAGGAAACATCCATCGACTACGATTCCGAGTTGAAAAAAATTTGAGTGCCACTTTCTACTTTGGGAAAAAATATTTTGACTCCGACTCCGGATTGTAAAAAAAAAACTCGACCAAGCTCCGAACTACAAAAACCAAATTTTGATAACTGGATAACGCAAACGTTTGTCGTTTTGTGCTTGATAGGATTTTACATATTTATACCGGGGGAAGGGAACGTCGATTTTACTCTCAGCATTTAGTGACGTGAACTTTGTTTTCTATTTCAGTATTTGGGTGGTGTGGTTCTTTGTGAGGGTTGTAGACAGTAGAATTAAACTCCTGTACCTAATATTGTAATTAGGTGACCAGTCGAGGTATATTTGGATTCTCCCCTATTGTTATTGTTTCTGAGATCACTAATTAATTTTGAACAAGCAGTTGAGCTCTCTCCATCTGTTTGCATTCTAGTTGGCCATTTATTTTGTTCTATAGCATAAGATTTTCCTTAATATGGCTGTTCACATTCTGATATCTGCATGCGCATGTTTCCTTTTTTTTCAATGTTGGGTTTCTGATATTCCACATGCGTGAACTTTGTTTTCTGTTTGGGTGGTGTGATTTATTGTGAGGGTTGTAGACGGTATAATTTAACTCCTGTACCTAATATTGTAATTAGGTGACCAGTCGAGGTATATTTGGATTCTCCCCTACATTTTAACTTGCTGTAGTACTATATGCTGTGTCCTGCGTGTGTACAAAGTTTTTATCCTTGGTCGAATTTATGCTGTGTATAGCATGCAAATGTGTAAGGGTTAGTGTGATGTTAATGACTAATGAAGATAATGGCATACATGTGTGTGATTTGACCGACATCGAAAGGTTTTTGCATGGTTTGTGAACAATTTCTCTTGTGTCCCAACCACAATCTCTTCTTTCTCAGGTCTTTCAACTAGCAGTCTAATTATATTTAATTAATATTAATCAATATTTACACAATTCAACAACTTCCACTCAAAGGTGTAGGGTAGTTTTCTATTGATTCCTCATTTGCAATCATTGAATATTGTACTCGCAGATATATTTTTCGTTTTTCAGGACGTCATGATGATCAATTTAAATGCTATCTATGTCAACATGCAGACATGAAAGGTGTATACATCAACAAAACTTGCAGACTGATGAATCATCCGTGATGAATTTGAACTCACCGCAGTGATCAACAACCTCAATTAAAGTTACTTGCCTATAATCCATGACCCTAGAAACTTTACTTGAACCTTAAACACCATATATATTCCCTTAACCAATTTTCCTACCTCTGTATCATACCGCCCTAATTAATTTTAATTATGATTACCGGTACTGTTATTGATTAATAGTATTTAAAATAATTTGGACGTTATTTGGCTTGTTGTGGCTTCTATTTGATGAGTGAAGCAGGTCTAGCCCACCTCTTCATACATCCAACTTGGCAATTCTGATTGGGCAATTTGGCATTAGGTGACTCCAATTATAATCAGCTTGACGATATCTTTTGAGGAATACTTTTCTATCCACAATACATTACTCTTGTTGACTAATTCGGTATCCAATTTGGCAATCCTCATAAAATTATTAATTTGGTGTGGCAAAAGAATTTATTCATTTTTTTTATTTTTTATTTGTTTGTATATTTTCCTTCCTTTTTACTTTTAAGTCTCGCTTTTTTCGCTTCCGACAGTATCATGTCTCGATGATTGTGTGTGTGTGTGTGTGCGTGCGTGCCTTAATTAGTTTTTATCAATACCTTTCCATCTAAAATCTGTACGTTTCAAACCTTACTCTAGGTTTTGTTCGCTTTCCCGATTCTATAATCAGTTACTTTTGTTTTTATCTATTTTTTTTATCGTCTATTGCTGATTATGGAGTCGAAATAAACTTATACTTATACTAACCACCCCACCTCCCAGCAGAATCTCATTCACTTCTTTACCTCTTCGGCTCGGCGGTGTGGCGCATCGTGCTAAGCTTTAGGAATACGCTCGCCACCGCATCTCTGATTACCTTTCGTGGGATCGCAGGTTCGAATCCCATGCGGGGATGATCATGTGCGAGAGGATTGCAGGACTCCTCGCCGCCGTAGGGTATTCACGTAACCGCTGGTCGGTTACGGCTTCCTCCACCATCAAGTACATGCTTCCGAAAACAAATACCTGGCTAACTAATTCCGTACCGGTACCTGACCTGGGTCCTGGACTGGTAACCGGAAGAGAGGCCGTGGTCCGTCATATGATTAAGCCGTCTTATCGGCTTTTCTCTCCCCCGGGATAAACATGTAAATCCTATCCTTTAGGTTTAGTGACTTCATTCGACCCCTTCATCCTATCCTATCCTTCATTTCCTTAGCTACCTGTATAGTTTTCAACATTTTAGTGATTTCAGCCACCCAATAGACAGATAGAAGAAATATCAGCCACTTTTTTTTTTTTTTAGTATTTAACCATTGCGCCCCCACCGTATTGAAAAATTGTTTTTAACTAGCTACTTCTGTACCTACTTACAGACTTTATGCGCCTGTTTTTTCAATTTAGTAACAACTGCCATTTCTCCCCAGTCAGGCAGTTACGGTAAGTTAACTAGACTACCAGTGTGCTCTACCAGGCAGCCAGGGCAGTCAAGGTTCAATCCTGATTAGAGATTACTTTCACTAAGGCTTTATTTCTGTATTTGATGACACGAGGTGAGTTTGAGCATTTAGTAGGTACTTTACTTTTTTGTCTCATGTTTTAAGCCTTGTTTGAAATTATGGTAGCAACTTTCGTACAATTCTGTTTTATGTCTGTATGTGCTTCCCTTGTGTATATATTCAGATATTGTAATCTGTTTGTAGCATGACAGCATGAAGGAGTCCCAAAATATATTATCTTATAGATAATAGTTCTAGTAGGCTATATCATTAAATCTGTCTGTCTGTTGTCAAAGCGCTTTTAACTCCATTCAATTCAAACTCTATACTGCTATATCAAACATTTAAACCTGGCGAAGGTGTTGGGCATTATTCTAAACATTAGAAGAGAGCACGAGTCACTACACCTCCAATCACCTTGCATGGGTTCGCAAGTTCAAATCCCCTAGAGAATAATTATGTACAAGAGAATTGCTGGACGCCTCGTCGCCTGCCAGCCTGCTGAAGTGTGGTTTATAATAAATATGTAAGTCCTATCTATTTAGGCTACTCTGCTACTTGTCCTATGACAGGGACGGCGAACCGCTGACCACCTCGTTTTATTCGTGACCCGCCAAGGCACGACTAAAATTTTAAAAAAATGCTAACAGAGAGAGAAAGAGATTTTTATCATTTCGTCAACCAGAAAACAAGCAATGGTACAATAAAATATATACAAAATATGCAAGTCAATTCGGTATAGACTAGAGCAAGAGATACGACCGTAAGGTGAATGGAATCAGATTCCCCCCAAATTCACTATTAAAGAATCACAGTTAATGTATATAAATCATGTATCATATGATCCGTTTGGCACACAATACATATATATCCGTTGATAATAAGACTCAAATTCAAAGTTTGGGTGGTGATTCTTGAGAAAGAAAAATATATAGACGCAAATTGTTGAATTCGGGCGTTGGAGTTTGGAGAGTAAAAATAAACCAGCGTGAGCGTGCTTTAAACTTGAAGAGTTGGAGTTGAGTTCTGGTACCTATTTTTGTGTCAAAATTCTGTTAATTGACATACTACCAGGGACTGAAGATTGCAGAATGGCGATCGCTCAAATTCAAATTGTTAATCTCGGGCCGGTATGGTAATTTTCAAAACCCCGAATCTTGGACGAATGTCTGCACCGCTGTGTACCGATATCCAGCTATTGGCTCTGACATCGTTTATGAAATAACAATGCAATTGATCCGTCAATTTCTCGTAACGGCTTGTCTCTTACGAAGTGCATTTGCAGACTACTTTAGGGGTTATACGAGAACTAGATGCTAGTTTTCATTTTATTAGTTTCCCCGCCTACTATGCTGTTGATAAAACAAAATCTTGAAATAAAAACCTAGAAAACTGAAATAACAATGGGACAGTGTAAAAGACATTAATGTGGTGATCGAGAGCTGATCGAGAAATATATCACCGTTTTTCCCCGAAAATAAGACTGGGTCTTATTTATATTTTCTTCCGAAAAATTAAAATTGGGCTTATTTTCGGGGGATGTATTATATTTTCATTTATCAAAAACAAAATTATAAAGTAGAGAACTACAAGATTTTCAAACGTACAAAATATAATAACCGATATTCATGGCACGTTTAAAATAACTGCAAAACATAGATTATCAATCATGTAAAACGTGTAGAAGAGATCTAAGATCGAGTAAATCAAAAAAAAAATTCGCGCTATTGACTAGATCTTATTTTAAGGGAAGGGCTTATATTAAAATCAAAATTTTTAAAATTCATGCTAGGTCTTATTTTCAGGGAAACACGGTACTTCTAGAGTGGAATTCTCTCCAAACTCTTTGAAACCGCAAAATAATTTGCCGCATCATGCTAAGCGTTCTTGGTAATTCGTATGCGTATTTTCGAACTTTAATTTCATAAAATCGAGTGCCATAAAAAGTCCCCAATTAAAGTGATGAATAAGTAAAGCCCAAAAATACACAACAGAAGCTTATAAGATTGTTTAAGAAGTTTCTTATAGATACAAACATTGGTTAAATATCTGTGACCCACTCTCTTCTGTTCGCCGATAAAAATATATTTTTTGACCCATTTATTGAAAAAGGTTCGCCATTCCTGTCCACGAGAACACATCAATCGACCACAGAATTATTTGAGGTTATTGTTATTATTCTTAAGGAATTTTTACAGATTTTTCATACTTTCTTGTTTTTCTAGATTTATGAATTTAACAATGGATTACATATATATCTGAAAAGATAACTTAATAACATATAATGTCAGAGTTACCTGCTGATAGAGCAAGTCTGAGTCATTCCCATTGTAATGGGATATCTGACTTGAAAAATATGGAAGGTAGTAAAGTTGTACCTAATGGTCTTCACACAGTAATATCTACTGAAGTTGTTTCCAAAGAACTGAAGGACTTGGTTAGGAGTGATGAAGATGGCGTAAAAACAGAATATTCTTCACAAGATAAAATTATGAAGTCAACAAATGAATTGATAGACAAATTTTCTGCCACTATGGCACTTTCATTAATAAACTCAAACCAGTGTAATGATCAAATCAATGCATCAGAGACAAATCTTCCCAAAGAAGCCACAAGAAATTATGACAATTTGTCTGCAGCAAATGGAGAGACTTCACAATTAACCAATATGTTGACAGACTCGACTGTGAAATTCCCCCTCTCAAAAACTGATAGTTCTGGTTATACTGTAATGGAAAAGGATGGAATAATGTATATGAGGTATGAAAGCGAACGGCAGATGGCAGCAATTATGCAGCTCATCACCAAAGATTTGTCAGAACCCTACTCTATTTATACTTATCGATATTTTATCCACAACTGGCCTCATTTATGCTTTTTGGTAAGTACTGTGTGATTAGCTGTTGACATGAAAATATTCAATAGTTATTAAGAAAATTGGAAATTATTGACACTTCGTTTGTTCAAAATCAGAATGCAACTGATAAATCCAATGTTAATTTTTTATTGTGTGTTTGGATTGGATTACCTCGTTAAGCTGTAACATTGTTGCTAGTTATATTTGTTGGTGCTAAGTGATGTGCGCTCAATAACTTTTTGCCCATGATATTGGGAGTTTTTGTCTTATGTTGGTGGCTAGAAAACCATCATATATTGGAATTCTGATAATACGCATTGCGAGATCATAATAACAATTGTTATTTTATGAAAAAAAAGATTATGTAAATGTGTACACTGTACAGTCAAGTATGAATTTTTTTAAACTGCATTATCAAGCTCTAATCAGCGCTTTTACAGGAAATATTCAGTTCTAAATAAACAGGTAAAATTGCACAGTCCTTGCTGTTAGTTGGTCAAAACTGTTTTACAATGTAATTTATATTTAACTGAAATGTAAGTATAATAAGCCAATAACCACCTAAACAGCAATGATAAAAGTTTCTACAGCTCCTGTATCTTTTCAAGCTTGTGAAGTTTCCATCATGTACACTTTTTTATAGGCCATGCATGAATCTGAATATGTTGGTGCGATTGTATGCAAACTGGATCTCCATAAAAAGATAACAAGGAGAGGATACATCGCTATGTTAGCAGTTGATAAGACTGTTAGGCGGAAAAGAATCGGTATTGATTACTTTACTTCATAGAATAATTTCAATGCTAATTAGGAAGTTTTGCTCATGTTCTGTTGAGCAAGACTTCTAGGAACTCCAGCCATATAAATTGTGCTTGCGATATAAAATGTGTTTTCAACCTTTTTGGTAGAAGCAGAACCCAATGAAACATTCCAGAGGATTAAGAACGAACCCTCAAGCGAGAGTGCGTACTCTTCCAATATATATATATAAGCAGATCTAATAAAAACAAAGCAAAATGATCTTGAACTGTAGCAAATTTAATAATAGTGGCAAACCTAAAAGGCATTTTATTATATCAAATCAATATGCATATATTGATATAGACTGTAAAATTAGAATGTAAACTTATGGAAATTGGAAAACATTAATAATACTATAATAATGCTGTGGATTAGTATTGGATCACACTACTGAATTTTTTGTTACCGGTAATTCAAATCACAATATTTATCCACTGTCAAGCTATTGTTTGACTCTTACAATTAAACAGATATCTGTTTTGGAGGCTGTTGACTGATTCACAATAATTGGTTATTGGAAGTTTTCATGATTTTCAGAGAGTGCTTTTTACGTTGGCTATTGGAATTTTGTATGTAGCATTCACTACTCTGCTATCTCATCATCACAAAAACAACTTTGATTTTCATTTGGTTTTCATGATTTTCAGAGAGTGCTTTTTACGTTGGCTATTGGAATTTTGTATGTAGCATTCACTACTCTTGCCATCTCATCATCACAAAAACAACTTTGACTTTTGATTAAAGTTTGGTTATTTGTTGTAGGTACAAATCTAGTAAAAATGGCGATTGAAACAATGAACATAGAAGGGTGTGATGAGGTAAGATTCATTCAAAATCTTGTTATGTATATATATTATGGCTTGTCTAGCACTGATCATCTGAAGTAAAAATAGCCATATCTGAATACAGACTCAAATTGCCTGACTGTGTCAGCAATTGAGTGAAACCATGTTTTAATCTTTTGCACAATTTTTTATACATACTTTGAAAATCTTACTATTTCCCCATTCTTATTTTCTGATGTTTGATTTGCTTGCTCGCATATTTAACAAGTAGGTATAAATAAATAAATATAAAATCATCGTATCGTTTCGAAATCTTGTATGTGAACTATGATTGTAGTATTTCGCTGACGAAGAACTTCTTGAGCCCATGTGTTGTGATAGAATAAAGACACATAGTTGATGTAACAATTTAACAGGGTCATAGGAATTATTAACAATATTCATATTTCAGGTCGTTTTAGAAACAGAGGTCACAAATCAGCCTGCGTTGAAGCTATATGAAAATCTTGGGTTTGTTAGGGATAAAAGACTGTTCCGTTACTATCTTAATGGAGTTGATGCATTACGGCTCAAGCTCTGGCTCCGCTAGGCAGTTCAATTTCTTCATTTTGAGTGTTTTTGTTTGAAAAGTTGTTTGAGACCAGATAATGAATTTCTGAAAAATGTGAATCAAAATTTTATGTATATAGAATTTTGCTGTAGCCTGGTTCAATTTAAAATATTCTGCCATTGGTAAATATCTTGGTTATGACATATATAGAGGAAACATCGCACTTATATCTATCAGCTGTTTTTATCAAGGTTTCAGCTATATCAATATTTCAATACTTCATGTTTCATTCTAGTTTATACATGGTTAATTTCAGTGGTCAATCTCATTGTTTAGAATTGATAAATTCGTTTTTGGCTCAGATTTTTGATGCAAATATAATTGCATTAGTGTTTGCGATTTGTATTAATCTAATCTTGTCTTCTTGCTTTTCACCGTAATTAATATGGTTGGGAATTTCTCCATCTGATCAACTCAACTCGAAACTTAGTCATTCTCACATGATGCATCAGTGCAGGTTGTTATGATTGGAAATACTGCAGTTTGGTGTGAATTTTAATTAGGAAAGGATAATTATTTCTCACGGGAAAAATTCCAAATAATGTTCAAACGTGATACGTGACGACGGTAGCCCCATATTGAGTTGAGACATAAATAAAAACTGGAAAAACGCCCTGGGACGCTCCTAAATCGGAATTTGAATATCTAAATGTAGTATATAGCGATGTAAAAGTACGACGTCGGCAGCCACCTTAAGACATGAGATAAAGTGAAAAAACGCCCTGGAGACATCGGAATTTAAGTCTTTTTGAAATATATAGTGATGTAATAGAATTGAAATACTTCGATTTGTAGAAAACTGACAGATTCAAATTTGACCTTCCTGAATCTACGCTATCGTCGCTGCTTGACTGGACTTCATAGAATTATATTTACGTTTAGTACAAGCACCATTTCTGCGAAATAATTTCCGTCTGCAAAATGTGTCTATTTTTGTTCCTTTAGAGATTTTTGATTCTGTTACGCTTTGTGCAACTGCGGCACCCGAAGTGCAACCGATGACCTGCCGGCAGGTTTAACTGGGCATGTGTATTCGAGATTCGAAATTTTCTTTTGAACCAATTTGAATAATTTTCGATTCGAAATGCCCAGCCCTAGTTCGAAATCGAAAACCTTATAGTCGCCAAGACTATTATTTGAATTATAAGCAAAAAAAAATTTGACACACTAACCTGGTTTTCTTTTAAATGTTCCCATGCTTCACCATCAATATTACAACTCGTCATTGGTAAAATTACAACACTTATTTTTACTACGATTTGTCAGATTTGTATCTCGAAACATAAGATGTACGAAAAAGATAATTATCATTGGGTTTGTTACTTCTTTGAGGCTGCTTGTACTTTTGCTTTACATTTCACTAGTTAGTAAAATAGTCAATCTGTTTACACTTTCTACACTCATGTGCTTGGCGTATTAAATCATTGCAACATGCTCCAAATTCAAAACATATATATATATATATATATCACTTCTGCTTTTCTTCTTTCTTTAATTTTGAATCTTCCTCGAAGTAAATGAGTAGTCTCATACCATACGGGAGGATTTCATTTGCTTGTGAACCTGCAGCTTTCGATGGTCTTCATTTTTCGTACACATGCGTATGCGTTTTCCGAGTTCCGGAATTTGTAACTTTTAACTGAAACATTTTGTAATAACCTGGACTCTGATCGAGTTCTCCGCACCATTCATAAATTCCGGGCCATTCGATACCTTGTTTCAGCTTTACTTCTACATACCGGTAGGTCTTAAAACATGCTTCTCAAAAACAAAAAAGTCCTAATTAATAAAATATTCGTTTAATCTTACCGTCGCGTATTTCCTTGCAGGGAAATTGTAAAAAGATCTCTACTTGTTGCATCATTAAACTGAGATTTTTTTGTAGGGTCATCTTTGCAATCGAAAATTGGTAATGCACAGTTTCCACTTTCTTGAATGGTATAATCTTGCAGCTCACGAGACCAATCTTGTATCCATATACGTATAACCAGTGGCGGCGCGTGGTCATTTTGACAACCGGGGCAAGCTACTGCGGGACCAAGTCACCCCCATCTACGGGGACAGGATGAGCGCTGTAAGTTCTCCCATCATTTTATGAGTATAAAAACCATTCCATCGGTAACAACCAATCGGCAAAAGCGACAATTTTTAACGATAAGAAAGTGTCTTTAAAACCGGTCCAAGTCAAGGGATTAATAAATATAGACATAGTTTATTTTGAAACCTCTTTCAAAAGGAAAGGCAATATTTACCCAGATAAATACAATGACATATTAACAGAAACTTCGGGAAAGCAGACAAAACCTAAAATAAGGTTTAAAACGTTACTATGAAGAAAGGAAAGCTAATGCAAAGATAAGAACATGCGTCGCTCACTCATAGATATATATGCTGCTAGACTACTGCTTGAACATATATATATGCAACACGCCGCGGTTTCTCAAAATGCTCAATAACGCGCTGATTAAAGTCATGCATCCCAGAAATAACGTCTCTGTGAATGGATAAAACAGCCAAGGAATTTAATCTATCTTGCTTCATTGTGTTTCTGAGATACGTTTTAATACGCTTCAGCGTGCTGAATGTTCGCTCTGCGACGGCGGAAGAAATAGGCGTCGTCAAAATGATGTCCAGAAATTTTGCAGACGCCGCAAAGTTAGTTACTCGAGTGTTATCTATGAGGAACCCATAGAGCGCGCAAGTTGATGTGATGTTCAAAAAAGTTTGATTGGTGTATATACATCGCAATTCATTTTCCAATTTACCCACGTTTATCATGGGGTAAAATTTGGAGACAGTAGCCAACAAATGGATGGGAAATTGACGTGCAAATTTTGAAAAATTTTTGAGGTTCATCAAAGAGAACGCGGCAAGGTGTTCAGTGCGCAGACGATCGCCTATTTGATTCACCAGAATGTCACAGCATTCCTTTGCAGACAAAATCAAACGCTGCGTTGTTTGCCCGCGGCGTAAAGAAGCACTCCATGAGTCGTCGTATTTTATTGTTTCCCAGATACGAGATACAGCATCGCAGAAGTCTGAAATACACGACTGCACAGACGCTCCATCCATTAGCCTTGACTGCAATGCGCCGTATAATACATCCACGTGATAGAATATTGTGGAGAAAAAAGCGAGAAAAAATGAAATCTCACCATCTTCTAGCAGACGCTTAAGACCTGCCGCCTCCCTCACAGAGCGTTCGTCCCAAACCGGAGCGCTCTGAATGCCATTGAAACACTCAATGAGACCTAATTTCGGACACGCCCTGCACCACGCGTGATTGGAAGTTCCAACGTGTTGGTGCACAAGCTGGGAGACGGCGGCTACATATCTGGCGAAGGAGGTCAGAACGCTTCGGCGAAACGGAAAAAATGAAGAAAACCCCGAAACATTTGCAAAAAATATACGGACGAGAGGGGTATCAAGACACATATTTTTAATAACGAGGTTAAATTGGTGTGCATAACAATGTAAAAAATGCGCATGAGGAAAATCTTCTTTTATATAAACTTGAACACCATGTTTCGACCCACTCATGACTGCCGCGCCGTCATAAGTTTGAGCTATCAATTTTGACTTCGCGTTGTAAGGCTGTAACACTTCTTTCAGTACAGCCGATATCCCGCAAGCCGTGCGATCAACGATTGGTACAAAGCTGTGAAATCTCTCGGTAGGTTTACCATCTTTCACAAACCGAAAAATCACAGCCAGTTGGGAAACGCACGTGATGTCAGTTGTCTCGTCAGACTGAATCGAAAGGAACTGGCAATTCTCAATTTCCAGAGCCAAATGTTGTAAATAAATTTTATACATTGAGTCGAGCAAATCATTTTGGATATCCTTAGATGTCCCTTTCGAAACAGTTGCGGCATCAAGATGATCTCTCAATACTGTATCTAGGGATGCGGTGTATTCCACCATATCCAAAAATACCCCTCTATTAGAAGAGCCAGCCCGTTCATCGTGCCCACGGCGGGACAGCTCGTGACAACCAATGAACTTCAAAACATCTATCAATCGACCGAGAACATGGCGGTTTTTCTCGACGTTTTGGTTGTGCCGACGAATAGAAACCGCGCGTCCTTCATCCAACTGTGCTGCAATATTAACATTTCCGAATGTTCGGTATTTTACTGTGGGAGATAAAAGAGATAATACGATATACAATGAGCAACCGGGGTAAAATCGGCGTCGCCACGTCGACGTTCGGCGAAGGCTTTGCGAGCGAAAAATGAACCATGTCGGGAGAATATGGCTAGTGTAGACAGTCTGTGCAACCGATATTGAGGTATTTTTCGAATATTTTTTATTATACCGAAAAGACAACCGGGGCATTGCCCCTTTTGACGCGCCGCCACGTATAACAATACATAGTGACTATTATAGGTACAAAATAAACAAGTACCTACTTACAGTGGCATTAGTAAAATCATCTTTGCTCAGTTACCTTGGTGTGTGCTTGTTGTAGGTATAGGCTCATGAGGTCATCGCGAGCTTGGCGATGGTGCATATGGAACACCGTATTTTACAAATAAGTTTAATTAATTATTTCTCGACCTCGGCATTTTATCCGCAAAAATTAGAAAACAGCACTCCATGTGCCTTACCTCATTGCTTGCTACCCGATAGTGAGATATAATAATAATCCGAGGGCCCACAGTGTGAATTATAGCGCAAAATCCAGTTGTTTCAAGTTGGCGAATAGCTGGAGATTTAACAAAATGAACATATTTCATTGGAAATATTTTCATCAAATAGTTTTTATATATATTCCCAATCGATTAACGAAGTAAATCAAATGGAGCGTTTTTCTTCAAATGCATCTATGGAAGTAAAATCAAACTGCTAAAAATTACATTACGAAAATGCGATACAAACTACGGCGCTAAGCAAACAAATAAAGTCAAGATAAGGCAGGATTCATCTGCAGAATGTGACTCGGACATTGATCTTGAAGTAACAGTGTCAAATAAAAGCTGGAGAGCTAAATTTATCTGCGCCTTCAAAAACACTTCTTATACTTAACTTGAAGGTCCAACTCAACTGTACAACGCAAGCGAATTCTAATGTTCGATATTGATTAACGATAAATTTTCTTTGTTGACTATTATTGAGCGTAAACTTTATCATTTCATCATACTATGTTCAAATTTAAGATGAGCAAATGTCGTGGTCATATTGCTTTATTGCACTGCTTCCCGATGGTTGCCGACCACTGTTTCAAACTACGCACAAGGCTTGAATTATATTTTTAACTAGATTTTTATATTATCATATAATTTTATATATATTATCTTGAAAGATTATGAAACTGGAATTTGATGAATTGCGCCAGTGTTCCTAAATATCGATGAGACAATAGAAGAATATTATTAAAAATGTTTGATCTGGACAAATCTCAAATCGGTTGATAACAAAAATCTCCGATTATAGGAGAGAATAGGTTATCTATGGCACCCTTATGCACGCAGGAAGTGGTATGCATGTAACAAGGCCACCAAAGATTGGTAACCGCCAATTTTCTGTATTATTTAAATCATAAATATGCAAATTGGCAGAACCAAAACATTTCATTTATATGAGGTTAACGAATATGTATTGTTGTCCATTTGTATTGTTTACGATGATAAAATATATCTCATCAACGCCAATCAGCAGGTCTTAAATTTATTTGATACAAGGAAAGCAAATCAACGAAAGCAAACCAACTACGATTACCCGTACGTTCTATCGTCTATTTCGATCCACATGGCGGGGTCTTTGTAACCATTTCCTGTGATTGTTAGGCCAAATCCAGAATCAAAGGTGAATAAAGCATGTGCATCTATAGTCAAAGCATGATTTTTGATAAAAATAAACGCTGACGAAATTCCCGCGCATGCAAAGCTTCTCAGGATAAACATTTTATTGGTCTCGAAACGAAAGCACTCCAATAATAACGATATATATAAAGAAAAAACAAGTGGGACAATATATTTTTGAGATACCCATTATTGAGGGCTCTATCTGAAGAATTTACTGGACAAGTATACAGCACGATTAATCGAGGTATTTTGACAATAGTAATGGTAAAAGAAATTGCTTTGATTAACGATTTCCTACTGTTATCTACTATTATTTAATTAGGAAACTATGAATTCGAACGAGAATATATTTTATTTCGAACATTAAAATAGAGATGTTCACCAAAAATTTTTGTAACATGTGCTATAATAACATAATTTGAATAAAATTGCCGCAACTTTTGGAAAAAAAAAACTTGTGGGTGTTCTTACAATCCCCAAATATATATATATATAGTTTTCATTTGATCTAATTACCGATCTTCTGCGTGTGCATATATTCTCTAAAATTAAAAAAAATAATAAACCCTCGTCAGTACGCAGTACCCTCACTACTACACTTGAAAACATTTTACTCATTAACTCTATGAATCAAGCACAACTTTGCAATAGGCCTTCTCAATAAACCCCTGGATGTCTTCACAGTAACTTGACGCACAGCTCCAAGTTTATCAGATGTAGTTTCCATAATACGTCCAGTCTGCCACTTCCCTCTGGGTATTGTCTACAAGTAGCACAATATCACCAACTTCCATATTACGTTCTTTAGAGGTTCATTTCTGTCGTGTCTGAAGTGTGGGTAAGTATTCTTCGGTCCATCTGGTCCAAAACTGATCAGCTAAATACTGAATTTGTCGCCATCTTCGTCGAGTGTAACAATCCTTTTTGTCGGATATGCCAGGAGGTAAATTACTTGCAGGATTCAGTAATAGCAAGTGATTTGGAGTGAGTGGCTCATCATCTTTCGGATCAAAACTTATTGGAGTGATGGGTCTGGAATTCAACTGTGATTCCACTTCACAAAAAATAGTAGCCAAAGCTTCATCTGACACCAACTGATCGTGTAAGAGAGCAACCAAAATCTTTCGAACAGATCGAATTAATCTTTCGTAACATCCTCCAAAATTAGAAGCAGTAGGTGGATTGAATTGGAATTTAATATTCTCCTGACGCAAAAATTGTCCAACTTTGCTTGAATTCCAAACTTCTATTTCTTTACGTAGGATTTTATTTGCTGCAACAAAGTTACTACCGTTGTCACAGATGAACTTGAATGGTCTACTTCTACGTGCAATAAATCTTCGTAACGCATTTATGAATGAATCTGCATCCATCGAGTATGCAACTTCCAAGTGTACGGCACGAGTATGCAACTTCCAAGTGTACGGCACGAGTTGTCATGCATGTAAATATACAGCCCCACCTCTTGACAGTACTTCGTCCTTGCTTTACAAGAAAATGTCCGAAGTAGTCCACTCCAACATAGGTAAATGGTCTTTCACCTGGTGTGACTCTTTCTTTCGGAAGATCTGCCATAATCTGTTTACTCACTCACTTCTTCTTCGACATAACATGCATTTTCTGATAACAGATTTCACCATAGCGCCTCCTTTAACAATCCAAAATCGTTGTCTCAGAGAAGTCCATGTACCCATGTATCCATGTAATCATACCAGAATGATGTGTAGATACATGATGTTCTCTTATAATCATCTCAGTTACATGATGTTTATGTGGAAGTATAATTGGATGTTTAACATCAAAATCAACCGGTGCATTTCTCAATCTCCCACCAACTCTGATGAAGCCATCTTTCACAATCGGATTGAGTTTATGCAGGAAATTTGCAATCTTCAATCTCTTCAGTACTTGTTTCCCAGATGTACTTCTATGATTGGCTTTCTGCAATGCATCAATAACTTCGCCAAATTCTTGTCTCTGTATGTATTTCAAAATGTCGTCTCCAGCAACTCGCAATTCTTCAACTTCAAGTTTCTCATTGCACTTATAATTCTTCTTCTTCTTATGAAGGTAGTCTTTGAATCGAATCATCCATGCACTTGCCTTTTTCAACTTATACCATGTTGAGAAATATGAAATGAATTTATCCATTGGCTTCAAAGCAGAAACATAATTCGCAACAACTTGGCTCGTGCTTGCATCTACAAATTCATCAGGAAGCTCAGGTAACTGTACTGGCGGTTTAGGCCAATGTTCCTCTTGCTCTTGGAGAAATGATGGTCCCTTCAGCCATCGTTCATCCATCAACGATTGTACCGACAACCCTCTGGATGCATCGTCTGCCGGATTCAAATCTGTAGGTACATATCTCCACTGCAAAGCATTCGATCCCTCTTCAATCTTTGCAAGTCGATTTGCCACAAATGTTGGAAATCTTCGTGATGTATTATTAATACTCAAAAGCACGGAAGTTGAGTCTGTCCAAAACATCGACTCTATTTCTTCGAAGTCTAATTCACGTCTCAGAATAAATCTAATTTGACTGCAAGAGCGGCAGCAGTCAACTCCAGCCGTGGTATTGAAACAGTTTTGATGGGTGCAAGTCGAGCTTTTCCTAAAGAAACGCAACATGAATCTTCCCATCTTCATTGATTAGTCGCAAATACGATACAGTTCCATAGGCAACTGCAGAGCCATCTGCAAAATGGTGTATTTGACGAGTCACAATATTGCCAAAACCAGAAGGCGCAAAACATCTTTGCATGAATATATTCTCAAGTCCAGGAATATCTTCGAGCCATCTGTTCCACAATAAATTTTCACTATTCGATATTTCATCGTCCCATCCATAATTATTTCGACATAACTGCTGCATCAAAATCCTTGCTTTAAGTATTACAGGTGCCACTATTCCCATCGGGTCAAATATCGAACTGAGTACAGACAAAATCCCTCGTTTTGTTGCGGGTTTTGATTTCACATTAACATCAAATCCAAAACAATCTTCTTGGATATTCCACTTTATTCCGAGTACTCGATCGATCTTTTCAGGTTCTAAATTTACACTTGACGCAGTGTCTGCTCTGTCTTTAGCAGGAATCTCAGACAGAACTTCAGGATTGGAACTTTTCCACTTTGCTAGATGAAATCCTTTTTTCTCCAGCAATTTATTCGTTTCTCGAACAATATGAATTCCCTGGTTACAGTAGATGAGCCATTCAGGTAATCATCAACATAAAAATTTCGCTCAACTCCTTTGACAACATTTTCGTCAAATTCATCTTGATGATCTTGAGCTGTCTTCTTCAGACTCCAATTAGCACAAAATGGAGATGAGACGCTACCAAATATGTGCCTGACCATAAAATATTCTGATGGATCCTGTGACAAATCACCTCCAGGCCACCACATAAATCGCAATACATTCCAATCCTTCGGGTGCACTTTCACCTGATGGAACATTGCTTCGATGTCAGCCACAATAGCTATTTCATGTTGTCTAAAGCGGAGAAACGTTCCAAGTAGAGAATTTGCCGTATCCGGGCCTCTCAATAGTTGGTCATTCAAGGAAGTATTCATACAACGTGATGCAGCGTCAAAGACAACGCGTACCTTGCCTGGCTTTTGTTCAGAAAACACAGGGTGATGAGGCAAGTACCAAACTGCACCTTTACGGCCAACTTTATATTCATTCGGGATACGTTTTGCAAATCCAAGACTAATATATTTCTCCATAGTATCACAGTACTTCTTTTTCAAAACAGGATCACTCTTCAATTTTCGTTCAATGTACTTTAAGCGTTTCATCGCAACACTTCGATTGTCTGGCAAATCAGGACATCCTGGCTTCCATGGCAATGGTAACTGATAATGTCCGTCCACGATCTCAACTGAATCTTCCATCAATTGCAATGCGTATTTGTCTTCCTTAGACATTGATGGAATAGGCGACAGTGAAGCATCTTTAAAATCACTTTCCCACAAACATTTGATTTGCTGACTCAGCAAGTCTTCCTCTTGCACTTGAACGCAATGAATGTGAACATCACTGTTTCTCTCGTAAGATAAAGCTGGTCCAACCAATGACCATCCTAAAATGGATTTCTTTGCCGAAGGTTCATTGTGTTTCCCTCGTCTCTCATCCATTGTCCAAAACACTTTAGGGACATTTACCCCAATCATCAACATCACATCTTTACACGGCAGAGTAGGAATCTTCAATCCCTTCAAATGTGCATAACTTTGTACATCAAATTGTGCTTCATTAGCTTTAACAGGCAGTCTATCAACAGTTAGCACATGAGATAAATCAACACTTTCTCTACCATCAAGTGATTTTACAGTAAAATCAACCGCATAACCATCTTGTGATGTTGGTACCGCATTCACAGTTGTCAACGAAAACTGCGTTTTCTTGCCTCTCAACTTCAATAGATCAAGAAGTCGCTCATCGCAGCAAAGAGCCTTCATCTAGAAATGCATACGTTTCTATTTCTCTTCTGTTGGCACAGATCTTGACAGGTACAATATTCAAAAAACATCCTGCTGAGCTTTTTGAAGTCGCATATGCTTCAACTTTTGACTCATTTATACCAGCAGCATTTTCTGTCTGGGTACATGTCTCTTGTTCTCTTCTGTGCAATAAAGTATTATGTTTCAACCTACACCCGTCAACAGTACAAGCAGGTGGTTTACGACAATTTCTCGACATATGACCATATACAAAACAATTATCGCACAATCTTGCCTTTCTAACAATCTTCAAGCGGTCACCGTGTGACTTTTGCAGGAATTTGTAACAGTCAACAAGTTTGTGTGACGTCTTAAACAGTCAGGACAGACATCTCTTCCCTTTTCAATATGTTTTGCACTGGTAACACTGCTGTCAACAGCTGAGGTCACAGCAGTAGAATGATCGTGAACCTTTCTCCTATTCGATGATTGAAATCGTAAACGATATTGCTGTTCTTGCTCCCTTCGAGCTCTCAAGGCTTTCCATAAGGCGTATTTGCAGCCGCAGCCCTTTTCTTCATAAATCTCACCTCCTTATCTTGACCATCCAATTCTGCAACCGATTCTTCCCAGTTGTTCTGCAACTTGAGAGGAAGTCGCAAAACGATGGACAAAATAGTATCAAAATTATCCAAATCCCCAAAATATTTCAAATGTGTCAAAGTGACTAAACATTCTTCTAATGTTTGAGAAAGACGTAACAAACCTTCGTTATCTCCAGGTTTCAACCATGGTCCTTTAGTCAACTTTTCTGAATATTTTCTAGCCACAAGCATTGGTCGACCGTATGTCTTTCTGAGCAAATCGCATGCCTCTTTATAACCTTCATCGGGTGGCAACATTGTACAGTGCATAATCAGTTTCCCTCGCATCACCTTCGCAGTATTGTACCAAATATGACAACTTTGTACTTGTATCATGTACTCTTCTATCAATATTTAAGTTGAAGTTAGTGATAAACCGGACATATTCAGTCTCTATTCCACTAAAATGCAATAACTCAGGTCGAGGTCTATCAATTCCGTCTTGCAACATAGATGCCATATTGCCCAATAAACTTTCCACATTTGGTGACGATTGATCATGCGTGTTTCTTTGTTGTGGGATGTGTGCTTCTGTGTACGGAGGTCGGTTCATTGATTCATACTGATCCGGTATATTCACATTCACCGCTTCTCTCATATTAACAGTAGAAACAGGTCTTCTAACATTTAATACAAGATTTTCCACTCTGACTCGAGATTGTGAAAACAAATCTGATGTGGACAATTTAGGTCTCACATCTGGAGGCTTTGATACCGGCACTCCTATTTCATTTACCGGTACTTCTTGGTTTTGATTAGGTGAATGTGAACGAGAGATATTTTCATATAATGACATACCTTCACCTCCCTGCGAAGCATTTTCCCATACATCGGCTGCTATACAGGCTGATTCATAAGCATGCTGCAATTCCAAACGCTTTGTACCACCTTGAGCATCCTCTTCGATTTGTCTAGCTCTTATTTCAGCATCGCGTTTCACCTTTTCAGCTTTCATTCGGGCTTCCTGTTTAAGTCTTTGCGCTTCTTGCTCTAGCCTTTCAGCCTCAAGTTGAGCATCTACTTTCAATTTCTCCGCTGCCAATTTTGCATCATTTTCTCGCTTTTTCGCGGCCTCTTTTTCTACTTGCTGCCAAATACTAGCATGAGCAAGTTCTCTGATGGCAATAGCTTCTGTACGTTTAGTACTCGAACTTGAACTGGCACATGAACGACGGGAACTTTTTCCAGAAATTACAGAACGTGGTTCAGGGCTATGTGTCGATGATTTATGGCCATCAACGTCACACTTTTTGAACCAATCACGTAAGTGCACATTAAGTTCTTGAAACTCGCGCAGTTCACACTGGAAAAATTCACTGACATTTCTCCGATCTACTTCAGAACGTAAAGTACTCACATGAATTTCGTGCGCATTTGAATACTCTGTGAACCGTTTGTCAATGTCAGCACTTTTCGATTTCAACAAATCCGATTTTTGGAGTCTGACATAAGTCTCTCAGCATCTTGATATAATTCCTTCATACGAGCACGTAACTCTTCTAAATTTGATTTCGAAACAGATTCTGCGTTCATAATGTACAATTACAGTGCTCATCAAACATGCAACAAAAGTTTAAATGTTCAACAGTAGGATGATTTCTTCAATTTTGACGATTTACCGAACTCCTGCCGGCATTCAACGATTGCTTTACTTATGCAAATCAGATACAGTTGACACGGTTATCTTAATACAAACGTAAAAACAAATCAATACAAAATACTTGCAATAAATAAATAATCGTACACAATTCGGCCTTTAGAAAGCCTACTCAAATTTATGAACACATTTATCATAACATAGTTAAAGTACAAGTCTAACAAATCAGCCTACTTTAAATAACTTGCGGCCTTCAAATCAGAAAGAGTTACAAATTATAACATACCGAATTGTCTGCTATTCCAGGCTTAAAATTATCATAAGTGAACATGAAATCATTCGTCAATGAAATCCGAACAAATCAATTAAATAAACTATAACTTGTAAAAAACAATCACAAAGCAATCTAATGCTGATAAAATATCCTTAAACTAGGCCTATGTGGGGCAGTCATAATCTACATTATTTAATCGTCCTGCTGCCAAGACAGAAAGTCAAGGTTGCTAAACAATTTCAACTTATTTACAAATTACAACGAAACGAGCGCCACTCTCTGCAAAAGTAAAGCGCTATCTAAAGCAAATTACCGAAACTATCCATGTCTAATCGAGACATGTCTGGGCCAACGGCCGGCAACCAACTTGCCTAATGTTAAACAAGTTCATGGACGCCATCTTGTGCCATATTTGGGAAACGCGAAACAATGGAGTCTTATGGGAAATTTTCGTCGTGTTGTTGTACCGAATCGAATAAGTCCGTTGTTATAAGGGCTAGAATGAAACTGAAGGGTGGACTTTGAACTTTAAGATATATGCTATCTAAATATATAACGCAATTGGGAATACAAAACTATCTAATGCGTTGAATTTGACCACAAACACAGCGTAGAACCATTTTTGGTCATTTTTTCAAAGATTTTATAATGATACGCCAATTTGAGGCTGTAAAATGTCACCGCAACAATCCTACAATGTCATTTGTTCTTCTAGGGCAGCTTGGAGCTCAGCAGTAGGGCATTATGGAGCTTGACAGACGAAATATGTTAACCAGAAAATAAAAACGGCCATTGAAGCAAAGTTGGGTCGGCCGGTATTTTTGACGAATAAATACAACTTTTCATCTGTGACGTCATAAGGAACGCCATTGTCAAATGGTTAATTATGACGATTAGAATGGTCAATTTACTTCGGAAGCAACTCGGAGCCGGTATACTTGTCTTCAAAGACAATTTAATGTACTATAAATGTAATTTGGCCAACATGAAAATATATAAGCATGTACGGCTAAGATTCTACTTCAAAACGCGACCTTCAAAATTTTTCTACCTAAAAATATTAGTGAAAATAATAGGTATGTTTTAATAATTGTGTTGGAACTTCTCATAAGGCGCCGTGTTAAACTGCCGAGAACAATAGGCACAAGATGGCGTCCATTGTCTTAGCGTTGCCTCGCTTATATTATATATACGCTTTGGTCTGGGCAAGCAATTGCCACGAAGACTCTCTCAATTGTTTCGTAACAAAGTGTGTGGAAGCACACTGTCAACCAAGGGAAATTACGGCGTCAACAATAACAAATAAATTACTACACAAGTTAAACGGACGCAATGTTTAAGTCAATACAAAAATCAAGTGAATGCGATTCTCGATGTAACATTATAATAGTTTAGTTATTGTTAGATTAATTTAAGGCCGGTTTTATCAATTTTTATCTCTTATATGTTAGCAATTTTTTTTATTTTATTCGTGCCTTGGCGGGTCACGAACAAAACAAGGTGGGTCGCTTTGTGACCCGCGGGTCGGTGGTTCGCCATCCCTGCCCATGAGGGTCTTAGTTTCAAAAGATAAAAAGCAAATACAGTTGTCCCCGCTTATTAAACAACATTCATACCTCGCCATTTTAAAAATAAAATCTGTAAAGCACCAATTCTCTTGCCAGTCGATTATGCCTCAAATCTTCGCATCGCGTTGTTATGAATAACTTTGTGTGCTTTGATTACTGTAACAGTTGTTGATTTACAAAATGTATTATTGACACACGTACACGTGGGTTTATGTTCACCACGTGTTGCAAGAGACTGACCACCAACTGACTTTGGGTTGGAACTGACATGGGCAAACTACGGCCCGCGGGCCAAATCCGGCCCGTTGGGTTATTCAGTCTGGCCCGCCTAATGCTGCCATAAATTTCTGCTTTTAATCAATTCTGCATGCACCACATAGTTGTTGTTATTAAAATCTGTATAGTGCGATAGGCTTGTTAGATTATGGTCGCAAAACTTTTCGTTTCTCGCTTTCACAGCACCTCCTTTTTCGGGTGACCGTACATTTGAACCCATGTACATTTGAACCCATGCGTATATCCACGGGTTCAATCTATATGCGGGTGCTAAAACCCATGGGTTAGGGTTAGTATGGGTTTAACTATCCGTGAAACGAAAAAAAATCCATAGGTGCAATAGCATACAGGTGCAATTGTCATGGGTTCAAATGTACGTGGGTTCAAATGTAATGGAACCCCTTTTTCGCCTTTCTGCGCTCGTTTCAATTTAGTGCCGCAAAAGTTTTATTTAACGTCCCCATAACGCTCGTTTAACGTTCTTTTTTGTTCGTAGCTTACGCATTCTTGCCATGTAATTTAGTCTATAATTTTTTGATGGTTTCTAATAATCTGTTTGCTGCATCCCCTTTCGGCACCCTTGTTCGTGAATATTTATAGCTAAATTATTTCAGACTAATTTTTTTTCCACGTGAGTGAGTGAATAGACTTCAGTTTATTTAATTGCAACAAATCTAAACACAGATCTCAACTGACCAATACTCATATATATATCAAATGGTGACCGTACATTTGAACCCATGTACATTTGAACCCATGCGTATATCCACGGGTTCAATCTATATGCGGGTGCTAAAACCCATGGGTTAGGGTTAGTATGGGTTTAACTATCCGTGAAACAAAAAAAATTTCATAGGTGCAATAGCATACAGGTGCAATTGTCATGGGTTCAAATGTACGTGGGTTCAAATGTAATGGAACCATATCAAATATGTTTTGACAATTGCCACAACCAAACGAAAACCAAATTTTGATCTTTTAGCTAAAAAATAGCTTCAAAGAGTTGTTGAGATAGCGCTTAAATTTAGTTTTGGTATACGAGGCTTATTATTTTCCACTTGCTTTTGTAACAATGCACATAAAGTTCTATTCCTAAAATGTAACTTTGTGATGTCGCACTCGCATGGTGGGCAAAATTTTGGCGCTTGGTCCAAAATTGCCCATCCCTGGGTTAGAACCACGTGTTATCACTTGCGTCCTTCGTGTATATTGTCGTATCAGGCTAACCACCCTGTCAGCTATTCCTAGTCAGTTCTGGTTCGCCCGACAGTGACTTGTTACTTATCGATCTTAAGATCGGTAAGTATATTGATAGGTATTTGTATGTCTGTCTGTGTGTCTGTCTGTGTGTGTGTGTGTCTGTTAGATGAACGCGATATCTCACGAACGCGTGGTTGAATCTGCTCCAAATTTTGCATGTGCATGCATCTTACCTCGGACCAGTAGCCTATAGATTTTGGGTTAATTATGTCGTATAATTAGCGAGTTATTAACTAATTACCGATCTAAGATCGATAAGTCTTCGGTCTCCGACCGATATTCTCGTATTTGTAATTGATTCGTGTTCCTTTATATGTATAACAATTATTTGTTTTCTTACTGTTTAGAAATCTATTGGTACTGCATTTGTTTATACCTGAGTGACACTAAAATTAATTACCGGCTTTTTCGTACCTCGCCAACTGTTTGGCAGTGGTATCGTTTTCGACCTGATTTTGCAATCCTTGAGCGACTGTTACACGTTTTCCGAGTTATAATACATTTGATTGTATCCAGTCAAGTAGTCTGTTGTTTATGAGAATTTGTAGAACATAAGCTGTAATATTCGTTCCTGAAGGTGCCGTCCCGTCAGACCATAATAAGAAAAAAAACGCGTCCACAAGTTAGATTTTAGTATCATCATCTGTGGCACACTGTAGCAACCGAAAATATGATAAAATTTTAGGGTACACGAGAGAATCTATAAATTGTCAAAGGGGTACCGACGAACAGAAAGTTTGCGAAACTTTGGCCTAGATAAAGGATTAGTAGTAGTACACAAACATTGAAGATTTATATATAGAATATTTTATATGAAGATTCTTGGTAAAAATAAGGTAAAAGAAAGTTTTCCGGAATTTTAGGAACATTAATTAGAAACCCCAAAATTGTAAATAAGGCACATGCAGTAATAGGTGCAGTGCATAGGCAAACGCCGGTAGAAAAAATATTAAGTTCATCCCAATTTTGATATGTTAATCGAAAATACTATATATTTACAAATACACTAGTTATTTTAAATACATGGCATCCGAAGATATTGGCCAATGTTGCAAAAAGCAATCGTCTGAAATACGAAATTAACGATACTTTTCAATTTCATGAAATCTACCATTGATTGGTTGAAGTTATGGAAGACATGTTCATCGGATCTAGAACTGTTGATAATTTCCGTTAACATAGTTGGCCTACACTGATTAGAATGTAACCTCCCGCATGTTGTTGACAACGCCTCATCCTGAATGTTTGTTTGTAATGCATGGCACAAAAGTCCTTCTCATTGTGACTCATCACAGTTAGCAAAAATTCTTGAAATGATTTAAGCATCAGATTGATGATGGTATTGGCAGATTCAATATTCCAGATTTTACTCAATGTGATCCGGCACATGATGGCCCGTATTATGTATCTTATTTCGCCTTCTATCTGAATAGCATTTGCATTCAGCTGCAACAACTCTGTCTCACAGAATTTTTATTGTCTTTCACATTCTTTATTACGAAGGCTTTGATGCTCAAGTACGGTGGCAGTGTACCCAAATCATCGTTGAGTTCAAATCTGAACATGAAATTGTGAAGATGTATTGTTTATTATCTCTCCGTTGGGAGCAGAAAACTTTACCGGATGACTGACAGTTGTAACGTTAGTTTCTTGGTCAAATGCGCTGTGTTGTCGGGGAAAGGTTGACATTATTTCTGATGCATTATCGACTATTTGAGATGCTTCGTCTGAACTTTCCTCTTCCGAGCAAGATTCTAAAATAAGAAAAATTTTTGATGAAACATTTTCTAGAAAATACTGCTCAAATTTTTTCCCCTTTAAACTTACTTAGTTTATCAGAACAAGCTTTATTCTGGTGCCCTGGCGTGAGTCTTGAACGCGTTAATAACCTCATCTGACATATATATATATATGTGTGTGTGTATTGATATTTCAAAGCTAGGGCACTTGGTCGCGGAAGATAATCATTTTGCAATAGTGATCAAAATGAATATTGAAAACAAAGCTAGATTAATTTAGTCGAGATTGCAAAATGCGTATATATATATATATGTGAAGTTACAAAAATGTTTGTTCATTAAAAAATGTGTTTTAATATTGTAGAGAAACACAATGCTCATAGCTTAGAAACAACGTGGGTTACCTTTATGCGGTAAAATCTCTAGCGAATCTTCATTTGCAAGATCTTCGTTTTCGGAAGCTACAACATCACACATGCGAGAATCTGGTCGTTTTTCGGTATCATTGTCTTCGGGATATTGAGAAAGTAGTTTAATGTTTCTTTGGAGGTGTACACCTTCTGAAACCATTGTTCTTTTTGTGTCACCGAATTGAGATGTTGGCTCTTTACGTTCCATCATGAGGTAATGAATTAAATTGTTCTGTCTTCTAAGTAAAATAATTACAAGAAAACTAGCTTATTCGAATGCCTTATAACAACAAAACAAAGTCAATATCACTATCCAATTTTAGGTCACAGTTTATTATAAACGGGATAAAACGTTTAGTACGTTGGTGCATCGAAAAAATTTGAAGAAACTTTTACATCAAAATTTCACTGCATACTTATTACATAGAATGCTATACAATAACAAATAATATTAATAATAAACATATAATACGAGCAAAAAACTCTTACTGTGAGTTCTTTAAAATTAGATCTAATTTTCTTTCAATTTTCGTCATATTGTTCTCGATGTTGGCTAGTCTAGAATTCGTGTAGAAATATTTTGGAAAAAGTTCCGTTTGATTCATCCCAGTCGATATCTTGCGTTCATCGATCGTGCTTTCAACCGGTGATAAATCCCCCATATTGCCCGCGATAAAGTCAATTCTGTGAAAGTAAATACATTTCTGATTTGAACGTAGACCTAACCAAGCGCACGTGTGTGAATAGTGTTTTTGGACGGAGTGATATGTTGGGAAGTGATATGAAGTGGTTGGGTGCAGAAACTTGGCAAGGTTCACGAAATATATTGCTGCTTATTTTTTTTGCGATTTTATTCGAAAACGCAATCTAATATTCATTTCTGGTAATGATTCAGGATTCATTCAGAATACTCATGTGAAATGAACTCATGTGAAAAGTATACATGTGAAATCGAAAAAAAATTAATACTCAAAAAAAAAACTGGATAATGAATTTTAATCAAACCCAATGTCAATTTTTTATTATTCTAGAGTTGATCTACTAACACCAATTCTATGATTAGTGTAATGTTCATGTGCAAACGTCATTTCTTTGCACAATTTTTCTCCGACTATTGCTCTATCTAATCAGTGTTAAGCAGCATATATATGTTAAACAACTGCATACGACTCCGATTCATTTTTCTAACTTCAACTAAGTTCTGAAAATTTTGAAGCAAACTTTAGTTTCCGACTCTGTAATAACAAATTATTAACTGCAAAATTATATATATTAAGTCCAAGTACAGAAAGTTGGAAAATGGGAGCTATGTTCCTACTCAAACCTAGAAAATTGCAGTTGTCGTAAACCACCCAGCTAATCTTACCCAACCGCGCTTTAGAACTAACATAGTTTAGTTTTGTGAATGTTGGACAATGATGGCATTCATCGTATTGGCATTGGGAAATGTTATAGCATGCTGCGTAAAAGGCTTACTGAAAGGATCAGACAATGCATAATATAATAATATATTAAAAACACCTCGAATGTTTTATGCGAGACAAACCACTGTTTTAGGAAGATTTTTCTTCTTATTTGCTATTTATGGTTTCTGGTCTATTATACATACATTCTGCATAAAAATGCCGGCGAGCGACTTTAGCGTTGGAAACAGCTACACAAACAAATATTTATATTACCAGAGATAGAGAGATCATTGATACTACAATGTACTCCCACTATTGGGAGAACTGTTTTGAAATATGTATTTTAAAAGTAATTTAATTGCTCAAGCTCGAGCTTTTTTTTAGTATTTTAGCGCACCTTGTCTGCAAGCTCTTGACTCTCGATAACATATCGATATGTCCAGATGAATATTGCTCGATAACGTCTTTCACGTCGTACGGCGTCAAGGCTTCTTTAAATTTCCTTTTTGCTACGGAAAATTTCATCATTCTAAAATTTAGCAGTTTTTGAACATTAAACGCTGAAAATAAGGTTACAAATACTGAATCAAACATAAAATTTCCCACAACACGTTTCTAAGAAGACCTTGACCGTGAACAATATCCTGGTCGGCAACTTTTTATAAAAATCAAACATACCGGATACCGCGAATTGCATTTTTTTGTGCTTCGGTAAGTCCGACCACTGATGATTGTTTTTCTTTTCTCTCTGAATAGTCTTCGTCTGTTATGTTTTCTACATATAATGAATATTCAAATAGAATTTCATTTTTTTTTCGGATCATCTATTCAAAATCTTCGCAGTAGACCTCACTTTGTCGTGAGTTGGTTTTGAGAGGGTAAATTCGACCAAATTGGCGTAAAATAAAAAACGAGAATATCGGTCAGAGACCGAAGACTTATCGATCGAAAGGTAGGGGATCCCCAAAACAGCGCTCTTACTCCATAGTGACACCTTGTGTCCCATCACTAATTAATTAATAACTCGCTAATTATACCTCATAATTCATCCAAAATCAATAGGCTTCTGGTACGACATATGATGAATGCACATGCAAAATCTGGAGCAGATTCAATCTCGCTTTCGTGAGATATCGCGTGCATCTAACAGACAGACAGACAGACAAATACCTATCAACATACTTACCGATTAAAATCGATAAGTAATGAGTCAAATCAGTTGTACAGATTATTTGATAAATTCACTGATGGAATGCGTAACAACTATACAATATACAGTCTGTAAGAATGACGGAAAATACAGATAGTTGGATATATCATGTAGTACATTCATTGGGGTTCAAAAGCGACCACTCATGAGTCAATGCATGAACCATATTATCGGTATTTCAACCGAAATGAAACCTTCCACTTCGTGGTATGCACCGGTTTATCGAGCATCCACTTGCCAAATAGAGAACTTAATACGTACCATTGCTGCTGGATTGACGTTTTGCTGAATTGTTTCTACTGCTTGGCAAACTTGAGAACCGTTCTTGCAACTTTCCGAACGCGGATCTCACAAACTGGAGATATAAATGAGAAGTTTGTTAAGATAGAGAATTAAAAGTTAGCTGAGTATACCGAATCAATTGAAAAATGCTCAGTTAAATTATTAATGACTTTATTGACTTACGTCGCTATTTACATTTTCGTACGTGTTCGCTTTTTCAGTTCCTTCCATTTCAGAATATCGACCTGATGATCCAAACTTCTTTCTCCTGATGACGTTCTTTTTCATGCTAAAGTTATGAGGCAAGATTTTGTGGGATGTGTCTGTATAGCAGGCGTCTACGTAGTTTTCGAGATGCATGATATTGCGAAGGAAAAGTAAAGATACTGTTGGCTCACCCAACTTATGTTCAGTGTCGGATAATATGGGAATTGGGCAGTTAAAATTTAATGAAAAGATTCATTACAAAAAAGGTGCGTAGCTTTATACATCCAACTCATTACTGTGCTTTACAACTTAACTTGATACGTGTACATTTAGGATAAAGATATAAGTATACTTCAGTCACTTATCATCCTGCTCAAGACAAAACTAACTTGTGTGAAATTTGTCCACGTAAAGATTCCAACCATGTTGCGGTTGATCTTGAATCGACATCGGCTGCGTAACATCGCCAGAAACATTGTATGAGATAAGCTGCCGGATTTCTTCTTCTTGATAAATGTTTTTGTCGATGTTGTTCTTGAACCTTTAACGCGAAACCTGAACCAAGTATTCCCTGGAAGAAAATAGATGATAAATGGATATCTGTTTCCTTATTTAATATCCAATTGACCACTGTGCAGTTGTCAACCAACTTATATGAATTCTACCAATGAAGCACTCCACAGCCACAAAAATGTGCATGTATCGATACCGCACACGTCGTTAGTAAAGCCTGATATCATCAAACCTAATAATATTTTAGTCTTGCGCTTTCCACACTAACTACTCAAGTTTTAAAATGCAAAAAACGCCTATTTGTTCCATCTACATTTACATCCCATCCTATTTACACCGCCACACAATTTGGCGGAACAATCTAAAACTCCAATTCATATCTAAAATAAGATAAGTACTTACAGCTGGCAATGCAAAGAAGGATATTCCGAGAATAGCGAAACAACTAGCTATCAGCCTCCCTATCCAAGAGCGTGGTGTTTTATCTCCGTATCCAATCGTCGTTAGTGTTACCTGTATTTGCCATGAAATAAATATTGTAGTATTTAGAGAAAATAATACAAACCTACATTTTCAAGAAGGTATAATCATCAGTAAATGAGTAAAATTTAGGTTTGCTAACAATTATTTTGATCAAAAGGTGTTTGAAATGTAATCAAATTTTCGCACCTGGTTGCCATGTCGCCAAGTACATATAATCCGCAACTAATTGGTCAAAATATCTAACTGAGTGAGGGTTTTATTCCAAGCACGTAACCAATCAAATATTCGATTACATGTTTGCTTTGTTGAGTGCTCGGGACATAAGAACATCATTGAGATTTTCTTTCTCATTGTTGTGGGGAAATTGTTCATTGAATAATATACGATAACGAAATACGTACTTGAAAATCTTAAAAGCTTCCACGCATTCTATAAATTCCAATTGTTATAATCGTATTTTTACATGAAGTGTGATTTTTTGTCACTTAATGAATATTTTCAAAAAACGTATCCCGCCTGTTGAAATTTTAGCGAGAAGAATAAGAGCTTTAAGATCAATGTTATTGATAATCATATATTTATATATAAAATATATATTGCTTATTTCTTTCGAATGCTTTTGTATTTGTCACGATGATTACAGCAGCAGATATAAGGCTTATGCACAGTAAGTTAAAGAACACCTTCCTCCAATTTTATATACTACTAGTTTTACTATTCTTTTGTTTGAGGATATAGACTTCAGCGTGAATTTAGTAACATCATTATCAAGTAAATGATATTTGTATTAATTTAGATATATGCATCATCTATTAAGTGCTAAATTTTGGAACCTTTTCACAGTGCAAACTTACCAGACCCCACCATAATGAATCCGCAAACGTTTGGAATTCCTCAGCATTGATGTCCTTTTCAGCTTGATATACAAGAAATGATGCGAGTATTAACGCGAGAAATCCAATGTACCACGCCGTTATTAATTCCTGTTAAAATTAAGATAAAAAATTACAACGTTATATTGGTGTCACAAGATTTTAATTTAATATTTTAACTATGTGTCGAATAAAAACTTTCAACAACTGCAGGCAATCCTGGCAATCCAGGCAAATCAACAACTCCGGCAGCAATCAACAAATTTATTTGTCTATACTGGAAGCAAATAAAACAGTCACTTTCAATTTCGATGTATGGGTGAAATGATTAATATAATTTTTTGAAAATACGAAATTAAATGAGACGAAAGTAAATTTGGAAATATGCTTATAAATGATTCAGTTCGATTGTTCTGTTCTGTTCTGTTCTGTTCCGAAACATCATTGGCAAGTTTTCGAAATTTCTCACAACTAAAAAAATCTGGTAAAATTCCCAGCAAGCAGGAATTAATGTATTCTATGTGTCAGTTGATTCCGTTTAAAAACTTAAATTTGGGATATTTTACACCTTAGTTAAATTTTAACTAAATGTAACTATCTATATGATATGGGTTTTTAAAAAAATTAAGTGATTTTCTAAATGTGGCCCTCCGCAAAACAGATTTTCTGAATTGCGGCCCTTGCAAAAAAACTTTGCTCACCCCTGCTTTAGAATTTCCCTTAATATTGATAAGCGAAAAAATAATTAACACTTTTTACTTTGCTGTGAGCGTAAACGACAGATGCGAGTAGTTTCCATGTTCCACCTCTTCTGTCCACCCGAAACATTCTTAAAATTTGTAGAAATCTTAAGCCTCGCATCGCAGTGGCAGCGAACGTATGATTCTCATTTCCAGCAAATATTATCACGAAAGATGAAATCACCACAGTAATATCTGGTAAATATTGGCAATACAAAAATGTAGATATTCATTATAATATAACTTTTGCCGACTGATTTCTGCCAGCGGTATAATATTGGTACTGGCTAAAAGTGTTGTTTCAAACATGTTGATTCACACTTTTCCCACTTCTCTCGCATTTCTGAGTTATGGTAGATAAATATTGTGGAGCAAATGGTTGAAGTAAGCATTTGAAGTGGGATTCATGTTATGTTCTAGGTTAGGATATATATATATATATAATACAATGTGAGAAGGTCAGATGTAAGCATATGAATTTCACATAATTGGGGAAAGCGGTACAAATGTGGTACAAGAGAAAAAAGTTTGTATATAGTACAAATGTTTTTACCTACCTATGATGCAAAACGGCTTTCTTGCAAAATGAATTCTTCCCATTATGCCTTGATATCTCACCCTGCATCCTGAACTCCAAACTCTCGCAACGAGTTCCGTCGTAAAAACAATAACCAAAATAACTTCCTGAAAAACAAAACACCATATTGTATAATATGAGATTCCTACCACGAAATATTTAGATGATTTGAATCTGACCCAGAATTAGATTTTTAAAATGAGCGCCCAAGCCTCAGACGCAAGTGAAAACGATCAAACAAACAATGTTTTAAAACCGACCGAAAACATCTCAAGATGTATTATTAAATAATAATTTATAATACCTATTGAAATTTGGTAATTTTAGTAGACCAAGACCAAGTTTGTTTCAGGCCTAATCGTTTGATTTACCTACAATCAATCAATCAATTTTATTTCGGTAACTCTGAAAGAAACAAAACAACAACAAACGGACAGATAAAATGCAGAGAACCTGGAGGACGGGCATAACCTGATTAAAAAAAAAACAGACAAGTACGTGCCCGTCCACTAAAAACAGTCAAAACAACACAATAAAACAAAAACACGATGTAAAATCGGGCAATACCCTTTGAATCAATTTTAAAATGTGAGACGTGTATGTGTATCACAACAGTGCTTTTCCTACAAAAATATGGAATAAAAAAACACTCGTTGACGTAAAATGGTGATGCTGTAGTTCAATTTCATTACAAGAATAAGACAGTGACAAAAAAATTGTTACTAAAAAACAAGCTCGTTAAATAGATTGAATGTTCCATAACAGTCTATGCACAAAGCATGGATTGGGCTATCGGGTTCTTTTGTCGTTTTCGATTAGTTCAATTTAAAATCATTGTATCCGTTCCAACGCTTCAAACATTAATATCAAATTGAACATGTAACAAAAAGGCGCTCCAGAAGTGTGTGTACCAATATGGAAGTAACTAATTTTGTACGCCTACTTTACATCAAGTTGTGTAAAGGGACGGAAACCTATGGACAGGGGGTATATTCACATGACTAGCACAAACAGTCCCCGAACTTGTAATAGGACTACATTAAGGGAAATCGGAATAAAATTATGGCCTAACCCTAACCTAGTACACATAGTACGGGAGTACCTCCAAAACTATTAATCAATTTTCGTATTGATAAGCAATATTGAATCGTCACATGTTGACGATTCTAGTGTGTGCATCAGTAAACTTTATAGAAATGCATAAAATGTATGAAACTTATACCATGATTTAACATTGTATCAAGGTAATGAAATATATACTATTATCTTTACCATCACAAATAAAATTCTTTTTGCAGTTTGCATATAATCTGGTATTGTCGCAAACACAGTAAGGATCAAAGCAGCGCAAACCGATATAAACCTGAAAAGAAATGTAGTCAAGTATTTTAGATAGAGAATCCCAATGAAATAAATAAAAACTGGCAGAACATATTATGCAATCAATATCACTGAAAGAATCGTAACAATTATTGCAGTGTGATCGAATTGCACATTAGCTTTTCTGAAATGTGTCAGCAAAAATGGGTGAACAGACTGACTCTTTCTGATTCGAAAACAAACCCGCTTCGAATAAAAATAAATACTTATCTGATCGAAATTTATTAACTTGTTGGAATTAATCACACCATAAGGAGTGATAACGATTATTGTAATATAATTTGTTGAAAAAAACGTCAAATGTTCAATATCAATATCAGCCAATAGAAGAAAGATGTCAGTGATTTGAGAATAATAATAATATAATACGAATAATATATCTTTTCGTTGACATAACTACAACGATTGCATTCACGTCGAATAACAAATGCACTTACGTTAACGTATGGTATATTAGGGATATGTTATTCCCTCCCCCAGGTCTTTCTAAGAAATTAAATATTAAAATCATCAATTTTCGAACTTCGTTTTTCCTTCGAGACGGCGCTGTAAAATATATCGGTTTTCCGTGAAGCGACATTTTGCGCTGTCGATATTCCTTTTGTTGAGCCCATTTTGTGGGTGCCATTAGAAGCTGCAGCAAAATCCAAAGTGTTGGAATTTAATAGAAAATAAGTGGAGTTGGATTGGCTCAAAATGTCATTAAAATTGCAATTCCATAATAAAGTACGTGAATCACAACATAAAATAACGAAACTCCTTATAAACAAAACTCGTTGACATATTTATTACAAATTCTACTCCACAAAATCGACATCGCGTTGTACTTATTTTTGTATATCTCTCGCGCTTTAGGCTTTCCTCCCAGTCTTTTTATTTGAAAATCAACTTTTATCTGAGCAAAGTTAAATGATTGGTGCATCGTGATAAATTAGGTCAAGCACGATTGATGATCTCATCTCTCAAACTTTAAAGCTAGGTCTGTTATGTTCTTTTCCTAACATGTAGTCACCACAGTGGCTATATATAATGCTAATATTTCAGGAAAAAATTCTGCGTAGTACAGTATTTGTTTACACATTTTTACAATTTGCATCAAAAGAGAAGTATTACCTGCGCAGCAAGTGAATGCCTTCTCTCGGCTCCTTCTCGCATTTGATTCTTTTCCTCGAACGCATTCTCGTCCTTTTCAAAGCAATCTTCGTCGCCATCATCAACGTCAACTGCAGACTAAAATAAAATAATAGGATGATTATTTATTAAGCTTGAAACTTCCTTAGCGATTGTCGTTTATTTATGAAACTTTACAAGTTCACTTTCGAAAGAGAGGGGAGCATTTTAAAAAGAATTGAATCCACTACCATATAATTATTTCACGCCCACATTATTTCCACGGAGTAACGCATGCTGTATGCTGGGCAGAGGCAAAACGATTGTACTGATTTTGATCAATGTGAAATCAATATCTGGTCGACTGCTTTTTGTGGGAGGAAATAATGGTCATAAATTAAACATTCCATTATTACTTAACTGTCCTATGAAAATTTTCTGAGGTAAAAACTAATTGACATGTGCCGCACACCAATTAGTAGGTTGATCAGTATACATACAGCAGCTTTCACGTTCACCGACCCGTGAGCTAGTAGTTATTATCCCACCTCTATTCATTATCACTCCTACAAATGAGATCAAACGCCGAAATCAATTTTCCAGGCAGTAATAAAAACGTTACATTTCAATGGTTCAATAGAGGTTAGTTAAAACTTTTGTTATCACCTTCCTATTGGCTTTCGCAATTACTTTTCAAGTCAAATTTGACGTCAAAGCGCTATCTCAATTCTTATTATTACATGGAATTTATAAAATGCAAATTCAATTCATAAAACGTATCAAATTTATCTGGCATTCAACTGTAATTCGGAGCCAGTTACTATAGTCCAAAAAATGGTAGCCACAATCTACAACACAAGAAAATGATTATGTCGATGCCAACAACTTCATTTAGTCTGATTGTCAGTGCTTGTGGAGAGGCGATCATCAAGTATATTAAAATATTAAATTCATTTTGAACATGTCCGGCTACATTGACTGTTGAGGGGGGGGGGAGTACTGTATCTACATTTTGGCAAATAGTTCCCAATCCTAGTCATCACACTGTACAAAAATGATTTCTACAGGTGGTACGAGGTAAAAATTTTGAATTTTGAAATCAAATCAGAAATACTAAAATAAATTCTGATATTTAGTTGCAGTTATTTTTAATTAACTTTAGACTCTGCTCACATGAAACTTTTCTGACAAGTTTTCCATTTTATATCTAATCATCTCCCTTCTGTCGAAGCTTTCGGGTTCGGAGCCATGTTCTACCTGTACTACGTCGCTGAATTGAACTCGTCGCATATTCCAATCTAAATGTTCAAAAACAAGTGTATAAGAAACTGAGTGAATGTATAGGAAGCTGACAGAATATTCTTGTTGGCGATTCTTCCGTATAAACATAAACCATCCGATATAGCTTCAAACGAGCCACAGAAAACTTGCAAATAATGTCACCAAAAGATAACTAATTCATCGGGATTGTGGAGACTAAAAAGGCAAATTATGTTATTCGATATCACGAATACTATGAAATCACACGGTCTTCGAGTTTTCGGCAATACTAGGATAATATTCATGATCCAGTTACAAATATTCTACAAATTTTGTATATCAAAAAAAAATATAGGGAAAAATTTGGATACTATCGTGTTACCCCGACCTGCTTCTAATTTTTTTTAACCAATATTTTATTTATTTATCAGTATTTTTGAAACTTTTCGTATGAAAGAATACAAATTTTCATATGATATAATCTATGATTATGAATAGTTAAATCCAATGCAATGTTGCTTGCTATAAGATACCGGTCAATCAATTTATTCCATGGCATGAAAACCTCAAATGTCCGGAAAAAGACGCGGCAAAGATTCCAATTTCTGATTTCGATGTCAATAAATACAAGACGCCCAAGTACGCTGCAAATTGTCAGGAAATGGAAATCTCAACGTCTCGCTTCCTGTTGAACAATGGGACACATGCATTCCTGATTCCCCACTGATTTTACCTTCTGCGTCACCTGCGTATTCCTCCATCGGTTCTGTTCTCTCGTCAGTCATATCAGCGTTTAAACTTTTAGTTATGGGTTTATCCATAATACTTGATCATCGTATATCCATAGCCGAGTTTTTATTTGGAACCATACGAACCACAGAGCAATGCTATGTATTTTCGTCACACAGAATTAGAATAATATGGATATGCAAAGAATAAAATTGAACATTCATACTCAAATCAAATCTGTGCTAAAATTGATCCAACAAACTTCACTCCAAACGTGCACTATCCCATAAGCGAAATATTAGATAATTCAGATTAGATAGTATTGCTATATTGCACTGATACTCTGTTCAGGTCCTCCCGCTTGGCCAACTGCTATCTATGACCTCAAGCTCCATCTATTGCTGCTTATATACATGAACCACGACTCAAAGAAATATGTCTTATCGCGCAGATAACAAGAATATTCATGCAATGCATGCACATGCGTCTTTGGATCGCGTAAATACTTCTATAATAGACGTGGACAGACGTGGACATTCTTTTTGATTGTCTGGTTTAAAATTGTAATTCAATACCAATTTACCAAAATTATCCACCAGTTGCTAGAATATACACCGCATTTCCGAAATCTGTTTCTTCCGGCCAAGACACAAGTTTCGAAATTTGTCTTGAACAACGTAACATAAACCTGACAAGTGATTTACTCGTGATAAGTGCTGTATCTTGGCATTGTACTTAAAGTATTTTCTAGCTTTCAAGTATTGAATTGATAACTTTCATGTTTCATTCATCCGGGCTTCGAAAAATTCACTAAAAAAGTATAATTGAAACTTATTATTACACTCCTACTAAAGGAAGCATGTAAAGCCCTGCATACACGACTATGTATGATAGATAACAGAGGTAACAGTCGTGTAACTTGGCCTTTTTTGTTTCGTACTCAATTTTTGTTCTACAACTCTGGTTACGAAAACTAATTCTGGCGACATTACAAATGCGAACTTGACATTATTTTCACGGTGTGTGGCAAGTACGTGTACAGAAAATATCAACCACTCGCTATCTAAGCTGTATTGTTTATGTTTTTCCACTTTACCAACGTAGACTAGTTTTGTATGAATTTTTTTTATCTTGATGACATCTCCGATATAATTTTAAAAAACGTTTCGTGGTAATTATAGAAATTCATTCGTACATATCTAAATTTGATTTTTGCGCAAATTAAATGTAATCAATTGTTGCTAACTTACTATAAAGTTATTATACTTTTATTCCGAATCATATTACTTTCACAAACATAAGACTTTTGTCTTAAACTGTTTTCGACTAGGACGCTTATCACAACCCCGATTTAATTACACACCGGGAATGTACTACAATCTGAATCCTAAAATAGTTCCAGAACCATACAAAATATACAAAGATTACCGCTTTAAAAAAGCATTCAAAATTTGAGAAAAAAATCGCAAACGGATTCAAACAGAATGACAATTCGACTGTATTATATCCATATGTCTAGTCCAGTCGCCTTGCACAATTCAATGTTATAGTGAGGAGTAATTGTTCAAACTGCTCAAGTTCAATTCAACCGTTCAAGTCAGTCCAGTCTCTTTCATAAGTTACATGCCACGATTTATGAATGAACAACACGTGTATGTACATAACAACTATATTTAGAAATCTATTAATGGATGTCAATCCCGATCAAAGCCTATAAATCTGAATAAATATAAGATATACAGACTATGTTATGCATTTTTATCAAGTAAATTTAGGCTGCTGAAATTTAATTAACAACAGTTACGATTTTCAAAATTGTTCTACAGTATGCGCGATTTTTACCGTAGTTACTGAAAACAAAATTCAAACTATGAATAATTGACTAAGTTAAAAATCAGAGCCGCAATTTGTAGCTATCACAAAACCGATCACCTTTATATAAATTGCTATTCCTGAGTATTTTCACTGCAGGCTAAAAGTTACTATAATCGCAACCCTAACAAGTAATTTAGAATGCGTCATCAACGAAGATAAAACTTTAAAAAGACTTTTTGCAAAGACGGCGATGTCTAGTCATCTCGGCCGGATTCACCGTTAGGCAAGGTAGGCTGAAGCCTTTGGAGTTTCGCCCTTCGAGTTTGAACCATATTCGTTCCAAAATTTAACCGGTTTGACATTTTATAAAACTGATATTTGTTTATTTTTAATCGGGTTAATATTTCTTGTCGCAAATATTTTCCATTCAAAAAATTAAAACGATCGAATGAATGAATTTGTCTAAATTTGAAACTCTCTATCCCTTTAACATTGATTTTACTTTAAAAATAAAATACTAATTAAACTGTTTTCACCCTAATAATGGCTTTATTTTTTCATAGCATTTCTAAGCGACAACGAATTTAAAGAGCATTATATCTTTTTTGTTGCATTTTCTTTTGTTTAAAAAAAGAAAATAATATTTTCAAACTACCTCCCTCCCCCCTCTTCTCGCACTACAATGGGATGGGTTTTTAGGGGTTGTGACGTTTTATAACAGCCTTAAGTTTCTTAGAGTGTCTTTGAATTCAGCTTACTAACCAATCTACTTGGGTGATTGGTGTACGTATCCCGTAACTAAAATTTCATATTTCGCGCAATTACAAAATTTATTTTTGGCGTTATGAATCATTTTAAATAAACGCGAAAATGGATATTATGTCGCCATGATAGATTACATCGATCAGTATGACGTCATTGGAGGAGAGGAGCCACACAAATAGAATAACCTCTTATCGTCTAAATCTGGCCCGGCTTGTTGATTAATCGAATAGTGACAAGTTCACAATATATTGGCAAAAGCTGCTCTTACGGCGGTAAGCACTAGTCCACTTTGGTTGCAATAAATGCGAAGTTTATATTTCCATTTTACGACCTTGGTAGATGAGTGCGCCATTGTATGTCAGCTTATCTACGTTAGGCCATAATTTTATTCCGATTCCCCTTATTTTAGTTCTATTACGAGTTCGGGGACTGTCTGTGTTAGCCAAGTGAATACCCCCTGCCCATAGGCTACCGCGTTCATTTTACACAACACAACTTGAACAAAATTAGTTACCTCCATATTGGAACACATAGCGCCCATTTTTGTTCTTACAAAGACTGAGAGCTTAAAATACACCAAAAGGAATCATTCTAAAACGAAACCGACCTGAGTTATTTACTTAGCTCCTTTACGACATTGTTGTTAACGGAATTTAATCTGGACGATAAATTAATTCGAAGACACGTATATATGAGACCTAAAAAAGCATTGATACTGTGCCAAACCTATGCTAGAACACTGGTTTAGGATATGCTTACCTATATAATCTAAAAGTACTCAGCTTATACTTGGAATCTCAATATAATCTTGCGTCATATGCTTAATGTGACATTTTAATCGTTTTGGTGCATTTCAGTGCCAAACTCCCTGCAAATTGATAGCAAAGCATTGAAAAAACGCTTTTCTTTCAGGACCTCATATTCGTAAATCAAAGTAAGAGCAAAATCGTTTACCTTTTGTCACCTATCACGTTTGAAGTCATTGTTGCGTTTTCCGCTTGAATGTCGACCACAAATTGACTTGTGTTCTTGCCCCATTAACAAAACCTTGCTACTTATACAAACGAGCCGAGGAAGCTAATTAGGGTTTAACGATTGAGTTCAGAGAATCTGTCAATTCGTGATTTATTTACTCAACTACTTGTGGCCATGTAAGGGTCGCGTTACATTAACACACTTTATCTGTAGCCCAAACATAATCCGTCAAAAATGTATTTGTGTATTTACGAATTAATCTGTGAAGGAATTTGAACATCGAATAATTATTTGACTATTGTAAGCTATTGCACGTATCTTCCAACGAAAATTATGCTGTTTCGAAACAATAATTGACACATTTATGTTATTGATGCTTTCAGATTGTTCCCAATCGATGATATTTTTCTTTCAGAAAATTCGAGGTTGGAAATGTTTGTGCGGTTATTTATTTATATTTTCTATCTGCAAATATCGACCAAATTTCTAGTTTTTTCACTAATATATGGATTAGCACCACTACTAAAGAGTTAATTATTAGGATTTAAGAACATTAAATTTGTTCATCGTCATCGAACCAGCGTGGTTCTCGATGACAACGCCACTCTAAAACTTACTCTATATATTCTGGAATTCCTCAATACCCAGTTGTTGAACCTACATTATTCTTAATATCTTCCGAGTAACAAATTCGTCTTATACATTGACGATACAAATTTAGATTTATGCCTCAACATTTGGACACCAATAAATCATTGAGTAACAACTTGGGTGTACAGACTTTTCGCCTGGCGGACGTTTGCCCATTGCCCCAACGAACTTTTCAGATCACAAGGCGGTTTGAGTTATAATTTTGTTTTACATTCGCCTTGGGAGTTGCTCTAAAATGATAGTATACAATTACATGTGTATTTATACTTATAGGACATTTGGGGCATACTTACGGTCTGGGTTGTGCACAGGTTGCACAGGTTGCCGGCATATGTCTCTACTGTGGTGAGTACTATCTGCCCGAGGTGCAAAAGTCTGTAAATCACCACGATTTTTTACTGGAGGATTATGTTGCAGTTCTATCTAAATTCGGCAAAAAATAAGAGTATCGTTCCGCAATAATTACATTCTTATAAATTAGTTAACCCACTCAAAATGTCCGTAATGTAAATGTTCGAGGGACCGTATTCATGAAATGAATATATCGAGAACAGTGCGAAGAGAACTTGAACGAAATTTGGTTGTGTTTAAGGGTTTTCTGGGACATTTAATGTCAGAATGCAAACTCCACATGTACAAATCAAAGACAGGCCGACATCCGCTGTTACGACTAGACTACTATTTCGTCGACTGTTTTTTAATCCGCTTGGTCGAACTTATAAGAAAGTTACAAATATGATCAGTCTATTACTAGCTTCGGAAATATGGGGCCCGACGTTCTTGCTTTGTACATATTATAACAGAATTAGTTTTCTAAGCTTCATGCTCCCGTTTATACACTGTATATATCAACAAAAATTCTGTGAAAACTTAAGATTTTTGGAAGTACCTCAACCTCTTCTCAGACACTACCGACCAACACTGTTTCACGTTTTGTGTATTTCGCTTTTCACTACAGTATTAGCATCACTGTAGCAATGAGAATTACAGCACCCTTTCTACTTATAGTTGATGCCTCGAGGAGCTTCTACTACTCGCAAACACACACCGTTTTCACATAAACCTTTGCAGAACTTGATATCTTCAAGCACTGTTTTCTAGCGTTTTTTTATTGACCCGATTCGTAAGTTCATTTTGGTTTATGTACTGAAAATATTGTCAACTGTTCTGCAGCAGCCATTCAATGACCGATTTTAAACGGCTTCGAAGTTCCAATATAAACTTTAAAAAAGAGGCGTTAACAATCAACAACTAGGCCACCATTCCATGTCTGGCCAAGTAAGGACATGATCATTTATCCATATGAATAATCCTGACCATGTATGAAACAATAGATAAACTATGCTTAAAAGATTTAAAGGATATATGCCGGGTGTTTGGCCAAACGTATTCAATTGTAGAGTCATCTGGGCTCTCAAGTTGCCAATAAGTAGGTTGGACTCACGGAAATTATCACAACTGTGTTGTTGAAATGAGGTCATTGAAAGGAAATAGGTAGGAAACCCGTTTGTTTATAATAATGCCTTTTGTTCCATGTTTCATATAAAATCGTACAAGAGCAACCCCGTATTCCAACGACCTGAAATTGAAAACGCCAATAATAAAGTTATCTCTGTTCCTTTCGGTTAGATACGTGTATAATCGAAGCAACTATCTATCAGAAAAGACTATAAAGTCGCAATTGATTAACTATCGTTGTTAATTTATGGAAAATATATTAACGTGATCTGTGATTGGCCTCAATTCAAATGACAAGTAAGTAAATTACTATTCTAAGCACACGTCACATCATTGGAGTGACCTCATCATGTATTTTAAATAGGTCAAATAGGCTACTCGTTCGGGAATTGATAGAAATTATTGATGGTCTATTCCAGGGCTACTCAATTGGCGGAACGCGGTCCGAATCCGGACCTTTCGACTATTCGAGTCGGACCGCGCCTAATTCTTTATTTTGGATCATTAGCCCCACTTTTGAAGTTTCCTTTTATAAAAATCACTTATATAGATTTCATATTAAATATATATGAAAAGAACTATAACGCCATATTAAACAATCTTGATTAGCTAATAATCATTAGTCGACCGAGGAAGTGCGTGTAATAAATATAATTTCTGGAAAGACCGAACCCAAATATTATCGAAGTTTTGTATGCGGATCTTCGGTAAAAATAGCTGAATATCCCTGATCTATTCTATTCAAAAAAAAGGATAGAGACTTTTGGCTTAGCATTGGAGATTGTTAGATAAGACACCAGCCAGTCAACTGTCGCCGATCAATAGCGAGTTTTTTTTTCCGCACTTACGATAGAACTCTCTCAGTTCCTTTTTATGCAGAATCGGCTTTAACACTGGATTGACTGTCAGTTATTTAGCATATGTGGACAGGTTTTCCATCATGCAGTACGTCAGTTTTAAGAAAACTGTGGGGTAATATTAAGAACATCTTCACAATAAACGGATCGTGCAAACCTTTGCCACAAAGAAGCAAATGAATGTTTGATGGAATATGCTGAAGAGTTGCAACTAGATGCAAAACT